TTTTGTTGAAATCAAACAAAGTTTAATTTTGGACCCCGATTTGGACCAACTTGAAAACTGGGCCCATAATCAAAAATCTAAATACATGTTTAGATTCAGCATATCAAAGAACCCTAAAAATTCAATTTTTGTTAAAATCAAACTAAGTTTAATTTTGGACCCTTTGGACCTTAATGTAGACCAATTTGAAAACGGAACCAAAAATTAAGAATCTAAATACACGGTTAGATTCGGCATATCAAAGAACCCCAATAATTCAATTTTTGATGAAATCAAACAAAGTTAAATTTTGGACCCTTTGGACCTCAATGTGGACCAATTTAAAAACGGGGCCCAAAATCCAAAAACTTAATACACGGTTAGATTCAGCATATTAAAGAACCCGAAGAATTCAAGAACAAAACCCCATTGAAATTGATCAAGAAATAAGCAATTTATACGAAGTATCTTCTTTTGCACAATACTGTGCAATTGAATATTTCTTGCTATTGCGCAATACTGTACAATTGACAATTTCTTGCTATTGCGCAATATTGTGCTATTGGATATTTCTTGCTATTGCGCAATACTGTGCAACTGAAGATTTCTTGCTATTGCGCAATACTGTGCAATTGAAGATTTCTTGCTATTGTGCAATTGAAAATTTCTTGCTATTGCACAATACTTATTATATAATAATTTACACATCCTGTTTGGTGTGTATCTCCTACCATATCATTATTATTTGCTTTTAAATATAAATCAGAAATAACCAACTTAAAATGGAAAATTTTAAAAGAAAAAAAAAAGAAAAAAAAAGAAAAAAAAAAAAATCCCCCCCCCCCAAATTTTTTGAACCCCCTTATGATTCATCACCCCCAAACTCAATCCCAGCCTTCCCTTTGTGGTATGGTACCTTGCAGTACAATTTCAGAGAGATCCATACACTTGAACACAAGTAATTGTCTGGACATTAGAAAAATGCTTATTTTTTGCCCCTTTTTGGCCCCCAATTCCTAAACAAATCGGGCAATTACCCCCAAACTCAATTCCAGCTTTCCCTTTGTGATATGGAACCTTGTAGTACAATTTCAGAAATATCCAAACACTTACACACAAGTTATTGTCATGAAACTAGAAAAATGCTTGTTTTTTGCCCCCTTTTTGGCCCCTAATTCCTAAAATTTTGAGGCAATTACCCCCAAAATCAATTACAGCCTTCCCTTTGTGATATGGAACCTTGTGGTACAATGTCAGAGAGATCCATACACTTACACACAAGTTATTGTCTGGAAGTTACAAAAATGCTTATTTTTGGCCCCTAATCCCTTAACTGTTGGTACCATAACCCCAAAAATCAATCCCAACCTTCCTTTCGTGGTATAGAACCTTATGGTAAAATTTCATGGAGATCCATTCACTTAAACTAAAGTTAGAGTGCGAAAACCAATGTGTCTTCGGACGACGCCAGACGACGACGACAACGTCATACCAATATACGACCAAAAATTTTTTAATTTTTGCGGTCGTATAAAAATCAGAAGTCTTATAAAAATGCAAAAAAAACATTATAGTAATACATTTATTTTCATTTTATAGTAATACATTTATTTTCATTTTATAAAAATGTTTCTTATAATATTCACTGAATACATATAGCATACCAGTAAGCTATAAAAATAACACTATCATATATAACAGACTAGTCAATTTAAGTTAAAAGTTATAGGTGTCAACTTTCCTAATATCGGTGGGAGCTATCCAATATATTAAAAACAGTTGGAAATATTTCTTTTCATTATATGTAGTGGTTTTTCAAAACATTGATTGTTTTCAAAATAGAGAATGTCCAAGCGAACTGGAATGATTCATTTGATCTGAATGTTGATGGTAAAAATACGTGAAAAGCAATAGTTCAACTGCAGAGAGTAAGCTAAAATATTACAGAAAACAATGTGAAATAGGTCTTATACAAATCTCCCTCCAAAATATATCCACAAAGGTATATCTCCCGTGTTCAAAATTTGAAAAGTTGATAACCTAAGAAATGCTTGGAAACAAGTAAGTACTTTTACAAAATGTATATAAATCAGATTCTGGCAAGCCTTTTTGTTTTGTTTTACAGTACCATGGATTCATTTATTTTCATGGGTATCAATTTTCATGGATAGAGAAAAACTTTCATTTACATAGTATTTGATTTCATAGTTTTGCTAGTCTCAATACAAGCCTATAGAAAATTTGTAATTAGTTGAACATTTAAATTAGTGGTTCACCTGTAACAACGAATGACACAAAATTTGGTATCCAAAGAATAATAACGATTCCACAGTATATACAAAACTGTAAACATATTCAGATATATTTCTGACTACTTTAATTGATAAAGGGTTACCCATGCACGGAATAAATGAAACATGTTTACTCCCCTTTATCTTGGATACTGTATGAGTAAGTTAAAATCTGGTTAATAATCAAATTTATATGGAATCTTAAGTCATGATCTATCAAAATCAGATTAAAAATAAAACATATATAAACAAAATATAAAGGGCATAACTCTAGAACGGTTAAAGTGATGCCACCAATATTCAAACTTGATCTGTGTTTTGTGGTAATAAGCATTTTGTATAAGTTTCATAGCATTTGGTTGAGGCAAACTCAAGTTAGAGAACGGAAACCAATTTTGGGACGTACGGACGTACGGAGGGACGTACGTACAGACGGACAAGGGTAAAACTTAATGCCCCCTCCGCTACGGCGGGGGCATAAAAAAATATTTTTGTGTGCCCTTTTGAGCATCTTCAATTTTGGAAAGTGTAAAAATCCTCTCTAATTAACTAATACTCCTACTGATCATCCTCATGCTGACTCCTATAATACATGAAACTTGATATTACCTGCAAATATTGAAACCCCCAAAATCACTTAATGGTAAGGATCAATGTATTTTTAGAATATCAGGATAACTGATTAACAATATAACAAGTTATTCAATAGAAACTATTGTGTCTACAGATGGACATCAGCTATAAGCACCATATCATACTAATATATCAGCAAAATTCTTGTGGTATTTTAAAACATAAAACTTGAGATATATTCAAAATAAATGTGGTTTAAAAAACAAAAATCCTGAGCTTGCAACATCATGAACATTGTATTAAATGGTGACAAAAAACTTACAACAAGCAAAATCTTAAAATAAAGGCATAAAAAGTGTGCGAAAAATTATAAAAATTATGCTGAAAATCTTTCTAACGGAAAAATACCAGAACACCAAAACAATAATAATGAAGATACAAAACAATTATTATAAAGAAAATCATAAAGCATCTGATTCTGAGCTTTGAACAAAATTAAATGTAGCAAGGTTAACTGTTTACAAGCTGTACTATCCACCTTATTCAAAGGTCAGTAGTAAATTATAAATGAAGCCATTGGCAAAAACCCAACAAAATTATATAAAAATACTTTTATCCAGCAATATTTTTATATAAATTTTTTAATAGTTATAAGCAAAGACAACTTAACACAGTTAGAGAATTTATAAATGTCACCTGTCAGCACAGACTAGATAATAAGTATTTTATCGCTAATTTTGATATAGTATTAAATTCATTGTATATGACAATCTCCAAAGAAAGAAACAGTAGTATATGTTCCAGATTTTGAGGCAATAAAAGACAAACCGCATATCCCAGATGAAAGTGATTAATTACCCTCATCATTGAGACAGCTTCATAAAATGCTATCAAATGTCATTAGTCATTTACCCTTCCTTTCCATTACATTGTATGACCTTTAAACATTTGTTTTTCACAAACATAAAACATTATTGCAATTATCATGATCATGATTATTGCAGAAACATTATATAAAAATATGCAGCTTCCAGAAATGCCACAAATGTTAAACAAATTGTAAGTAAACTATGAAAAATTGATTGGTAAGCAATATAAAAAGAAAAAATTGATAAAATGGAAAAGAGGTATAACAAGATGTGAAATTTCCCCTGACGCTTTGAACTGTGCAATAACATAATATCAGGAGTCAACTGTGGAACAACAGCAGACATTATGAGTGAGATTAAACATTAATATATTTTACATAAACATTGAATGATATTTTTGTACATTGCATACATTAATGGAATATGAATCAACATACCTCATTACACAAACTTTCACATCACAATTACGCGTGAGGTACTTCCCTAAGATGATTGTCAAATTTTACCCCAAAAAATCCCTTAGCTACTGCAAAAATCATCACATCTAAATAAAGGGGTAGTGTATGGTCAACTATAAATGATGACCAACAATCCTAGTTAATACCCCAATGACTCCTGCAAAAAAAAATCAAATCAAAATAGCATTTTATTTTGGTAAACTACACATGATGGCAAACAATCCTTCAAAGAATGACAGCATTCTTACATATGATCACCAAGGAGAAGCATTTAGATGGTGTCTTTATGCTACAATAGACAAGACAGTTGTAGTTTCATACTTCATGCAAAACTTGACAAATCAAAATGGCATTTTTACCAGATAGACTTATTACATACGATGAAAAAAACATCCCTCAGAATATGAAGGCTTTCAGTAAAACAGTCTCAAAGTAGAAGCATTAACAAGAAGTCTTTATGCTACCTAGGCCAAACATGATCAAAGTCCCCAAACTCAAGCAAAAATTATCAAACCAAAATGGTGATATAAAATGGTATATCTATTTTAACACTTAACACTGAATATATGCAATTTGTTTACAGCAACAAAGAAAAATAAACTAAAGTCAAATCTGAATCAAAATTATCCCTTGTAGGAGTCCAGTGTTCTCCCCAGGGCCTTTTAGCATCATGGTAATGTGATGCTTTTTTCTTGAATATGATGCTATCTGAAATGAGTTTCTTATACATGTTATAGGTTGTTTTATAGATGTGATGCTATAATTTTAAGAAACAAGATGGTATTTCAAATTTCCCTGTTTACCAGGATGCTATATGAAATATCTGGGGAGAACACTGCAGTCTGTAGCCATATCATGCATACGTCGGTCAATTGAAACAAAAAAGGCTATAAACCCAATCTGTAAGCCATCATTATACACCAACGAATTAAAAATCAGTCCTACATCTGCAGGTATTACATAAAAAAAACAAAGCAAGTACAATTTTCATAAAATCCAATGTCCAAATCTGCAAAAATTCTATACACTCAAATGTGGAGCAGAAAATAATCTTGATCTGTCAGCATAATGAAAATGAGATAGGATAACTGTTTAATTTCAGAAGGATGGAAGGATGGTTATGGGTAACACTTAATGATGTGGCCACTTAGTGGCGAGGGCATAAAAATAACATTTAAACTTTGAATAACAATCAAACTTCAACCTTATTTCATTATACACAACCATATTCCAACAATAATTCAAACAAATATCAACATTGAAATTGGATCATTCGTTCAAAACCAATTTAATTTTCTAATTAACATGATTAAACCTGCTTTTCAAAATTCAAACAATAATGAAATATGACACTGTTTTTCTGTTTAATAAATGCTGTTGTGCCTACCTGGTCAATTCTCTCCAGAATTATAGTCCCCACTAGCACCTCCTGATTTATGTAAAAGTTTAATATCATTTATAACCATTGACTTTGTTATGGCCTTACACATATCATATATAGTAACTGCAGCAATACTGACAGCTGTTATTGCTTCAATTTCTACACCTGTTTTGCCATAAGTTTTAACTTTAGAGGTTATGATCACACTGTGGGTTGTCTCTTCTAACATGAAATCGACACTAACCTTAGACAACGGAATGTTATGGCAAAGTGGTATAAGATCATGGGTCCTTTTAGCACCCATAATTCCTGCAATATTGGCCACTGAGAGAACATCACCTTTCTTTATCTTATTATCTCTCAGTAGGTCAAATGCTTCTTTCCCTAAAATTATAGTTCCAGTTGCCATAGCAACTCTATACGTTTCATTTTTCCCACCAACATCAACCATTTTGGCTTTACCAGAAGAATCAACATGGGTTAATTGTTTATCACAGCTCTGCTTATTAGAATAATTGTCATTTGAATTAAAAACATGATCACTTATGAAGGTGGTGTATTTATTATCTCCCTTTACTACCGAAGAATCTTCTGATAATTTTATTTCCCAATAATTTTCTGTCATATCGTCTTTATCAGCTGGTTCTTTTTCCCAATATTTGAAGGCACTGTTTTTATCGATGTGTAAATTTCTAACAGCCATCATAGAACAATTCAGTTTTATTGTCTGATTTAAATGATTCACAATGTTGAAGATTCTGACCTTGGCAGAAGGAAGACTATAAAATTTCTGTTGAATTCCTGAAATTAAAGACAGTTTCAGTTTAATAGTTATAATTAATAATGTCAGGATACAAGGAGGCAGGTTCAGGATCTAGGGTTTGTGGCACACTTCCACCTTTTAAATCTATTCATTTAAAAAATCTTATATTCTAAATTTTCCAAATTTATATGTGGGGGGCATCTCCAATCCTATATTGGCAGCAATATAAAGTCTTAATTCTGGTAAAAATTTTCAACACTTCTTAGCCTTAAAAAAAATAGCCTTACGTAAATGATGAGTAAAGCCTTACATAAGAAATAAGTAAAGCCTTACATAAATGATGAGTAAAGCCTTACATAAGAGATGAGTAAAGCCTTACATAAGAGACGAGTAAAGCCTTACATAAAAGACGAATAACAGCAAATATTTTACTTATATAAAAATGAGGAGATGTTGTACGATTGCAAATGAGACAACTATCCACCAAAGTTCAAATGAAGTGGATGTAAGCAATTATAGGCAACCGTACGGCCTTCAACAATGAGAAAAACCAATACCCTATGGTTGACTATAAAAAGCCCCAACATGAAAAATATGAAACAATTCAATTGAGAAAACTAACGGCCTAGTTTATAACAAAACAGTTTACGAAAAACAAATATGACAGACATGAACCAACGACAACCACTGAACTACAGGCTCCTGACTTGGGACAGGCACATAAGTATTTTTATGGCTCCTGTTTATCTATATAACCTTCACCCGTTCATATAATGGTGTTTTGTAAATTGGACCATGTTGATCGGAAGGAGGGATCATAAACCGCATATTTGAATCTAGATACTCCCATGATGATTGTGGCCAAGTTTGGTTCTAATTGGCTGTTGTTTCAGAGGAGAAGAATTTTGTGAAAGTTAACTGACAAGTGATGAAAATTGCTCACTTGATCCTTTAGGCAGGTGAGCTAAAAATTGAGACTTTTGTTTATAATGAACATTTTAAATATATAGTTGTTAACATGAAATAGGTAATGACTCTTCACCGCACAGCCCAACTCAACATCACATACAAAAAGCCAATTTTGCACTTCTTGAAATCAGCCAACAATGCAAAGAAGATGTTAAGGTGCTTTCCTCAGTTATGACCCTTGACAGTTCTAAAAAATTAGATGACTGTCAGAATCGATATCAAAATCAATAATTTCAGTATTTTCAAACATTGAAAATTGCATTTCAACACCTTGATATGCCAGGTGTAGTTATTTAAGATGCACATTACTTTACATAAAATAAATGTGATTGAATGCTCCAAGAAAATAGCATATGAAGTTCATATTAAAATTTAAGATTTTTTGAAGAAATTAGGATGCATAATTAAATTTCACACCTGCGAGCATGGGCACACGTGTACTAGTTCAAACGGAGACATGTCTAGGTTCAAACAACGTGGTTATGACGATTTTTCATTTTCACCTTTTTAATTTTTTCATCAAATCATATTTGTAAATGTATTTCTGATAATTTAAACCTTTTGGACTAAATTAATTAGATGCAAACCGCTGAAATGTAAGAAAATAACTTTGAATAGACCGACCAATGTCTGGTTCAAAATAGTTTACCTGTCACCTGAACAGGTAAATTTCAGCTGTTTGACAACTAATTAGCCTTGATTAAAATGAGAAGGTATTGAAGTAGGGGTTGTTTTGATAGTACTTAATGATCATGTCACTTTTATGACCGGAAATGTGTGGCTGTTAAAGGCAAAACGTTGGGTCAAAAAGATCGCGAATTATGTTAAAATGACCGTCTCTTAAAGCCTTGAAAACTAAAAAGTAGATGCCTGTTTCATGCTTTGTCCAGCCAGACTTTTACCGGACATTATGCAAATGTCCGGCATATATGACCGTTTTGGAAGCCTTGAATTATGAACCTAATTTCAATTATGAAATCTTTTTCTATGAATCATTTTTTATATTTTCATAAAAGGTTAAAGTGATATTGCAACAAATCAGTTCAATCTAAATTTTTAAATATTGTATTTAAACACCAATTACAATCTCGAAAACTTTACTGACACATCATGAGTTGGTTGACCATTATGGAAATGGAATATCTGTTTCACAGATGATGACAGATATGTTCCTATTGTCGTAACCATAATCCTGTCTTCTTTTCTCATATGTGACATCACAGAATTAGACTTATTATCAAGTTTGTAATAAAATGAGCAACACAACAGGTGCCACATGTGGAGCAGGATCTACTTATCCTCCTGGCACAACTGAGATCACCCTTGGTTTTTGGTGGGGTTCATGGTTGCTCAGACCTTGGTTTTCTATGTTGTGTTTTGTATACTGTTGTGTGCTTTTATGTCTTTTTTTTCATCTTTTGACATGGTATTGTCAGTCTGTAAACAACTAATGAGTTTGAATATCCCTTTGATATCTTCTGCCTCTCTTTTACATACAAACATCACTACAGTTTAGAACAAGGAGCTTGATTAAAGTTACTTTACTTTTGATTTTCAAATATCAAAACTGAGTAAATTTCTATTTCAAAATGTTAAATTTTATTTAAAGTGATCATTTGCAAAAAAATAGTATATAAACAGTCAGGGACGTTACTTAAACAAGTTTTTTTTTTTAGTTACTTATATAGGTAATTTTTTATTTTTTAAATTTTTTAAATTACTTAATAGAGTTATTTTAGATTTCAATAAAGCATGGACTAAATGTAGTTTTTATGAATTTGTACATCACATTTTATTACATAAGATTAAGAATTCTTTAAATTAGAGAGGGATATAGAGATAAATGAATACTTTAAAAATAGTGACAAAAATATTACTTGTATAAGTTATTTTATACATCTTTGAAAAAATTAGTAATAACAATTATTTGAGGAACATATGTAATTGTTATAGGTTACAAATTATAAATAACTTCAAGTCTTAATTAAATCACAAGTTTCCATCTATCTATATCTCTCTATCTTTAAGATTTTCAAGGAAAATGATATTTTAATAGTCCCAAGAGACCAATCTTTGACACAGATGCCTCGATACGAAATGTAAGTGCATCAGAAAGGCAATTAGTGTTTCGGGAGGATTAGTTTTTATATTTCATGGGAAAAATAACCAGATGTCTGTGAAAAATTGTTAAAGCTAGTAAAATCTGTATGGATGGACACCTGTAAAAGTAATATTTACAAAAATTACTTATATAAGTAATATTTAAAATAGCCTCGTTTTTAACATAACTTGTATAGGTAATTTTAAAAGTTACTTAAGTAATGCCCCTAAGTGATAAATAAGGAGGTGTGGTATGATTGCCAACACTTATCCATAAGATTCCAAAATGAAGTGGATGTAAGCAACTACAGGCCACTCTACAATTATCAACAATGAGCAAAATCCATACCGAATAGTCAGCTATAAAAGGTACAGATATGACAAAATGTGAAACAATTTATACTAGAAAACCAATGTCCTGACTAACTAACACTAAAACCCTACGCACACTTTATGGATCAGTTGAACAAGAGTGCACACGCTGAAATGTCTCGCCTTCTTTACTAATCATTGATATTATGTTGATAGTCCTAAATATAAAGCTTTATTACAACTGCCACATAAACTTAACATTAACCAAGTAAACTAAACATTGACCAATGAACCATGAAAATGAGGTCAAGGTCAGATAAACCATGCTAGGCAGGCATGTACAGCTAACAAATCTTCCATACAACAAATATAGTTGACCTATTGCTTATAGTTTAAGAAAAACAGACCAAAACACAAAAACTTAACACTGAGCAATGAACCTTGAAAATGAGGTCAAGGTCAAATAAAACCTGCGTGACTGACATATAGATCATAAAATATTTCCATACACCAAATATAGTTGAACTATTGCATATATAGTATTAGAAAAAAAGACCAAAACTCAAAAACTTAACTTTGACCACTGAACCATGAAAATGAGGTCAAGGTCAGATGACACCTGCCAGCTAGACATGTACACTTTACAATCATTCCATACACCAAATATAGTAGACCTATTGCATACAGTATAAGAAAAACAGACCAAAACACAAAAACTTAACTATAACCACTGAACCATGAAAATGAGGTCAAGGTCAGATGACACCTGCCAGTTGGACATGTACACCTTACAATCATTCCATACACCAAATATAGTAGACCTATTGCATACAGTATAAGAAAAACAGACCAAAACACAAAAACTTAACTATAACCACTGAACCATGAAAATGAGGTCAAGGTCAGATGAAACCTGCCAGTTGGACATGTACACCTTACAGTCCTTCCATACACCGAATATACTAGACCTATTGCTTATAGTATCTGAGATATGGACTTGACCACCAAAACTTAACCTTGTTCACTGATCCATGAAATGAGGTCGAGGTCAAGTGAAAACTGTCTGACGGGCATGAGGAACTTGCAAGGTACGCAACGTACCAAATATAGTTATCCTATTACTTATAATAAGAGAGAATTTAACATTACAAAAAATCTTAACTTTTTTTTCAAGTAGTCACTGAACCATGAAAATGAGGTCAAGGACATTGGACATGTGACTGACGGAAACTTCGTAACATGAGGCATCCATATACAAAGTATGAAGCATCCAGATCTTCTACCTTCTAAAATATAAAGTTTTTAAGAAGTTAGCTAACGCTGCCGCTGCCGCCGGATCACTATCCCTATGTCAAGCTTTCTGCGACAAAAGTCGCAGGCTCGACAAAAACTACATGGAAATCATTGCCAGCTTCCTTCCCAGAAACTTAATAGGTAAACATTTTTTTTAGCAAGTTCTAAAATAAAATACAATTGTTAAATGTACTAAAAATCTTTCTTTAGAAATTTGTATATAAGCATTCTTGGTGAAAGTTAAGAATGGTGATATGAATGTAGGAACATTCGGTATGTTTCTTTACTTGTTTTGATGGTTTGTAGAATAGTAAAAATCTTATTCTACTTTAATATATCCCTTTACTTACTAATCTTCACCCACCAATTAATATCATAGGTCTGTTCTTCATACGGGCAAGGTCAAACATTCCTACAAGGTCAAATAAAAGTCAATTTATTTTAATTTAAAATGTAATGTTTAAGAAAATCCACATATAAAACATTAAAATGGGAAGTTTTTGACAAAGAAGAGATGGTTTTCTAGAAGGAATATCTAGTATTTGGTAGTTTTCCTTTAAAAAATAACAAACTTAATTTTCTTATCACTGTTATGCACAAACTGGAATGAAAACTACAAAATGAAATTCTTGATTGAGTGAATAGATATAAAACATAACTATAAACTATAGATTTTTAAAAATATGTAATGTCACATGGAATAAGGTGAGAATAGAGAAAACATCGTATTATTATCAAAGTCCTTACCCTATACAAATAGAACAGTATATGGGTATTTCTTTCTTTATCCACAAATAGATGGAACATAAGATACTTCTTGTAATCAGAAAAAAACTATGAGAATACTTTCAAAACTATTATTTCAGCTATTTCAATTCAGGCCAATATTTTGTCAATCACTTGACAGTGCTCACCTGCATGTTGTTTTTTCTTCCTTTTGACAGCTGCTCCAATCACATCCAGTATCTCTGCATTATCATCAGTACTTCTGATCATATCTCGCAAAGAAACCTCAGCATTTCCAAATAAACATACCTGTCATAAGATACTTTTATTTTAAACAATTTCAAAGCAAACAGCCTTTTAAGTTAAAAAAATTGTTTAAATATGTGGTGTAAATATTTTTCTTTTTTTTTTCTTTCTTAATTTGACAAGAAATTATGTTAAAATTATGTTAAAATTCATTAAAAGAAGGTAATATTTATTCAATTACTGAATTAACATATAAGAAATATGTGATGAAAAATTTCCATGCACAGTACGTAGTTATCATTAAAATTCAAAGTATTGTCAAACAGCTAGGGACTTCTCAATGGGTTTGAAAATTGCTTACACAGTACTACTCATTATGATTAAGTTTCAGACCATATCACCAAATTAGTCCTCAATATAGAAGCATAGTAATCTATTACAAAAGTCATGGATGTAGAAACAGAGGGAAGAATATATATGTTGAATGCAGTATACCACCCTCCATGAATGGGGGAATAAAAACAGATGAAAAGATGGACAAGAGTGACATTCATGTCAGCTTATCAAAGGTGTAATACCACCAAATCATAGTACGTCACATCTGGTTGCATTCGAAAAAAGGGTTGAAAAGAAATATCCTCTTGAATTTGACAGTTGTAGGAAATTAATCCTACATTTCATTGCAGTAAAAAATTTCTGAGTCATAAACATATATCTTGGGTGTTTAAAAGCACCATTCTTTTTTTTATTTGGTGTTTCTATAGAATATTTTGGAAACTTGAGGTTACATGGTTACTAAAGCTTGTACACAGGAAAAAAAGATTGAAAATTTGATTGGTTAACTTCCAGTGATGGTTATTTTCTTATATACAATGAAATGTTATGTGAAATTTTGTCTGTAGTACTGGACAGGACAAAACTTTACTCATGCCAAGTATTTCTTTATTTGACAATATTTTGAATGGTGCAAATTTAACAAAGACTAATAGGGGAAAAACAATGGTGGTATTAAACCTAAAGTTATAAAATATGCATAATAAATATTTAATCCAAAGGAAGTTGCAAATAAAATATTACATCCAGATATGATCATGAAAAGAGAATGAAAGAAGTCTTGTTTTTATTCTAAATTTTTTTTGTATATATGTGAGGAAGATGCAGATTTATAAGGACTATTGCTAATTTAAATACCTTCAAGTTACCATCAGCAGTTATTCTAAGTCTATTGCAGGATCCACAAAAATGTTCACTCATTGATGTAATAAAACCAATCTGTCCTTCAAATCCTGGCACTTTGTAAGCCTAGGAAAAATATTTTGCATGTAACAATATAGAATAAAGTATATGCAACCCAAATAAGATAATACAAATTAGAATGAAAGAATCCTTTGACTCACATAAGTTTTCTCGGCAGTGTTTTTTTTACCGTTAATTGTTTTTATTTGTCATGATTATTTTTTGCCATAGAATTTTGCCAGTTTCTCTTTGACTTATGAGTTTCGAATATTTCTTTGGTATCTTCCACATCTCTTTTGATACGAGAAATTTTCATTGCAATAAAATTGCAAAGTTTTTTATTTTAAAAACAGTATGATGATCTTATTTCCACTTCCTAAACAACTAGCGTAATTATTATTTGAACAATCTAATTTACTTCATTTACATTTCAATATATTTTCCTGGCCCAAGCAGCAAGTTACTGATAGTTTAAACCTACACTGGTCCAGCAGTTCCTTCACTAACCATGGACCAGTGTTGTTCTAATTTTTAACCCTTTCTATATTCATGTAGTTCCAAAATCAGCAGCACTACACTAACAATATCTATAAAACATTTTGTAAACAAATAAATCTAGTAGGTATTGCTTATGGTTATTCCATTATTCCTCCTTTTTTTTTGGGGGGGGGGGGGGGGGGGTTGCACTTTTTATTTTACCTCTACATGCATACAAATTCAAATGATCGTTTTCTATATGTCTATATTTGTTCAGGCAATCTTTCAAAAATAATCTCCACCAATCAAAATTAAATAGGAGTGCATTCTGACCACCCAATACATTCAATTCATCAAGAAGAGATATTCTTAAAAATTTACTTGAAATTTAAAATCAATGCTTACCTTAAAAGTCATTCTGGTTATTTTCTGAATGATTTAAAAAGACGACCTTTATTAGATTAAATTGGGCATTATGTCTACATACTTTTGAAGTGTCATTTGGTCTGTCCTGTATTCGCTGAATATCTGGCCATTTCAGTTTTATAATGTCTAACATATCGTTGTATGACACCATCTTCTTAAAATTCCATTTATTGCCATCAAATGGCATATACTCAATAAATCTAATGTCAACATTCTAAAATTATAAATATTAATCATCATATTAATACATACAGTGATTCCTAAAGAAAGTTTCAATGTTTCATGATAGTTTCTCTTGGTTGGATTTTTTATATTATTACAACCTGTATTTTGATTTGGTTTCAACCCAAAATTGATAACGATTGTATTGTATTACTGTCAATCAGCCAACCCTATAATAAAAACATCTCACTTTTTGTCTGTACAACAAAATGTCAGTGTTTTGCAACTTGCGTCCATTTCAAAGTTTGTCAGGATGACAAAATGTTGTCCTAGTTTAATACAGTTTTCAATTATCATCATCTGTAATATGAAGTACCCTATATAAAACATGACAGAGACCTAGGGTTCATAAATGACAGATTTTGAACAATGGTTAAAAATAGGAACTTAACCCCTCCACATTCTGTATGTGCCTGTCCCAAGTCAGGAGCTTGTAATTCAGTGCTTGTCGTTTGTTGCTGTATATCATATTTGTTTTTCGTTCATTATTTTGTACATAAATCAGGCGTTATTTTTCTTGTTTGAATTGTTTTACATTTGTCATTTCAGGGCCTTTTATAGCTGACTATGCGGTATGGGTTTTACTCATTGTTGAAGGCTGTACGATGACCTATAGTTTTTTAATTTCTGTGTCATTTGGTCTTTTGTGGAGAGTTGTCTAATTGGCAATCATACCACATCTTCTTATTTTTATATTAAGTACCATACCTTGTTTTCTGTCAATGCAACAAAATCACAGATTTCCTCTTCATTGACACCTCTCATTACCACACAATTCACCTGTAATACAGAAAGTACACATTTGTTTTTTTTTATTCAAATTATAATACACAACTTACAACTATACATTCCATTTCCCATTAAACATTCAATGTTTTAGGAAGAAAAGGCAGAAATATTTTAATAAAATATTAACCTTTCGATGTAGAAGACAGCATTTTAGTGATTTAAGTCATTGTCTGCTTACTCAAAAGTGTCTGTGAAAGCAAAAGGAAGGAGGAAAGAAATAATGCATGGATAAGCATCTATAAATAATAGATGTGGGAAAATATCCAATCTGTTAATAAGACATTAAACAAGTTTGAGCTTTTTAAAAAGCTGTGGACTGCTTCGCTCTATCCTGATTTAAGGTATTGCGTGTGCATGTGGTTGTTGATTTAGTATTGGAAATGTGGTATTTTTAGATATTGATTGATATAAAATGGATGTCTTAGACTTGGAATATCAATTTTTGTATATATATTAAGATGAACTTTTCTAAAATTTTAAACTGGCTGTTCAGTGTTGTTTGTTATACACCCATGCTTTTAAAAAAAATTTCGATTTACTTGTTGAAATTTAAAACATTTACAAAACACGACTCTCGAGGTGTGCCTCTCTGGAGGTGTGCCCAGATTGGCAGAAGTTATAAAATACAGATAATGCATTTTTGTAAACATTGTATAGGAACATTGTTTAGCTAAACAAATCGTGCATATTACAGATTAACAAAGCAAATAAACAGGTGTTAAAAATTGATATTTCAATATTGAATTTCAGTGTGCAATATTTGCATAATAAAACGAACATGAATTAATAACAGTTGATCGGAACTGAAATACACATAGTTAATTTTCCGGCATTTGATGTCTTATCCTGAGACGAGAAAAGTCTGTAATTCTTTATCTCATTTAAGCCAATATCTGTTGCTGTATCTTAGCCGAATCATAAAGCAACCAATCAGAATCTTTAAGTGATAAGTAATTATTTCAAGATGGCGTGTATATTGACTGAAACTAATAGCTCCGCACCGTGATGCGAAGCAAAAAAAACTAACAACATTAAAAACATCTAGAGTTCAACCAACCGAATTCAACTCTATGTAATATGTTGGTCTTCAATTTCCTTAATTAAACTTTTACCTTAACTGGACCATATCCCAGCTCTACAGCAGTATCAATCCCTTTCATTACTCTATCCCAGCCTTTTCTTCTGGTTATAAACTCAAACTTGGCTGGAATTAATGTATCTAAACTAATATTGAGACTATCAAGCCCATTGGCTTTCAGCTGAGGTAGTTTTCTTGCTAATGTAATGCCATTTGTTGTCATTGCAATGTTTTCTAACCCATGTGGACGCAGGTCATTTAAAGCACCTGTAATTATGATAGAAACATCTCTTATAATATCAGTACATGTACTACAAAGATAAAAAAAAATTATATTTCAAGTTCTTTACTTTAGATAGTTTCCAAAACAGATGCCATCTGCATAATTATAATCTTAGGTGACATTGGTCAAAAGAAGATATTAGTTAGTATCTTCCCTTTCTTTCTTTTTCTTTTTTCTTATAATTTCATTTCACATTTTTATTTGTCTTAAAATGTTTTTCTCCTTATTAAATCTTTCTCATCTAATTCTGATTGATTAATGCATTGTTTATTGCTGAAGCGTAGATTTGCTATGAGAAATGTTTCAGTAGTCAATATTAAGATATCCCATTCCCACATACATCTACTGGACTAGAGATCTTTTAGGTTTTTCTTTATATCAGAAATTTCCAATTGTCCAAGATTTTTTTTATCATCATTTACCCATCATGTCCACCCTAGTGATTTATTCCAGGAACTTGATTAATTAGATCTAATGATAATTTAAAACTAATTTGTTGGCTATTCATTTAAATATTCAAAATTTTCACACTTCCCGTCACACTTAATCTTGATCAGAAGTGTGAACGTTGAACTTTTGAATTCACTATAACAATTTTCATGGAATCAGCACTATTCTGTCCTTACCCTCGAGCTCTATTTCTAAAATCAATCTGAAATAAAGCATTACAAAACTAAATAATAACCTACCAATGATTTCAATAAGATCAGATCTGACTAAAGGTTCTCCTCCTGTTAGTCGTATCTTCTGTATTCCCTCTTTGACGAAGAGTTCTGATAACTTGATTATCTCCCCTGTTGACAATAACTTTTGTTTTGGTGTCAATTCTACTCCATCTGAAGGCATGCAGTACTGACCTACAGTATAAAATATGATCATTATTGTTATAATTACTAACTTCATTTTTATGACTTACAAACTATTAAATCTGATAACTTTTGTAAATACAATAGTATACATGGAGTACATAAAACAATAATATTAAGGAAGCAACACTCTGTCACACTGACGGTGAAGTATGAGGTTTTCATAGAAATGTTTAGAGACAGGCAAAAGTTGTGTATTGCAATTAGGTACTAGAGGTGTTCTGAGATATTTGTGGAACTCCACATACAGGTTTATTAGAAAATATGGAAAAAATTGTTTTTTTCCGATAATTATTTTGTCATATAGCATGTATAGAAGGCTGTTTGTTTTCATGCTTGAATTGTTTCACATTTTGTCAGGGTGGAGTCTTTTAACTTATAGCTGACAATAAAGTATGAGTTTTGCTCAATGTGAAGGCTGATAGTTGACATTTAATTGCTTACATTCTGGATGGTTACCAGCAGTGTCGTTAACCCCCCCTACAGTACAGTAGGAGTAAAATGAGTCTAGTGGATATTTGTCTAATTGACAATCATACCAAATCTCCTTTATATACATTATATTAGTTACAATAGGCAAATTAAATTAATAGGCAGATGAATGAATAAAACTACCACTCTTTACTCCCTTCTTAAGTTTCCAATAACATGTATAAAATATGTCTTACATCTTAAATTGCACCTTTCTGTCAGAGAAATTCTAAGATATGTATGATGTCTTCCAAATTTATCTGTTAGATTAGGAGATATATCAGCTACCTTTTGCTTTGACTTTACCTAAAAAGAATAATAAAATATCAGCATGAACATAATCATACAACATGAAATGTTACAGTTAGGGTCATCATCAATATTTTGGTCTTGGTGATTTCTTCATTCAAATGATAACTCTGTAGGAGATATATGCCTTAGTTTTGTTCATGTCTAATATATGTGAATAAATAAATTCTGAAGATTCAAGAATGATTTTTTATACTTAAGAACTTAAAGAAAGTTATTTAACTTTAACTTTCTGTCTGCCATCTTGTGATGTCTGATACTGCAGTTAGGGTAATCAGCTTAACCCCAGTACATATGTTAATTCTTATTGTGCCAGTCCCAAGTCAATTACTTTTTAAGCAGTACATTGTACATGAATTTGGTGTTGATGGCAGATCTTTGGATCGGGACAATTTAGAACTTGACAAATGGCATAGACACTTTTATGTTGAAAACATTTGGACCTCTAGTCTGATGTGTTGTCGGAAGCTGAATCCAAAAATGCAAGGAATTTCTGATATACTTCTCCATATGCTCTCCTGATTAGAAAATATGTCAACAGAAAATTTTCTATTTTCAAGATAAAAGTACAACATGGACATCTTACTTGTACTTGTCCTACATACCGGTATATATTATACTCCTGATAAATAGTTTATTCATATTTTGTTAAGACTGATATTTTACAGGAGGATATATATACAATACTGCAATAATATATTCCAGAGGAAAACATGAGAGATGGGCATACAAAAATAATCACTATTACATGGCAACATAGCTACAACAGCTTGAGGGTAAACAATAGAATGATCCAAGGAAACTTGCTATAAACTGGAAATAGTTAGAGATTTCATCCAACAATGGGAAGTTTTAAAACGAGATCAATCTTAATTTTCTTCTAAATAGCAGTCAATCACCAATAAAAAGCATGACACAGGCACCGACAGTTGAAAGAATTGACATATAGGAGGATCGTAATGGGGGTACCTTCATGGCGAATAACGGTAGCAAATTTTGCCAAATGACCTAAATCAGGGGAATTACTTAAATGAGTGATTTCTTAAATCACTGATTCAAGTTACATTTTTCCAGAAATGTTGGAAGTAAGAGATGTCTTTCTTTAATAAACACCTTTTTAAGTACTATTAGTACAAATAAATCACCAGACTAAGTGATTTAATTTTATTGTAGCTTTAAATATATAATACTAATGATCCAGGGACTAATTTTGTTGCTAAAATTATCAAAACCAACATCTGTGTTTATAGGATGACCGGTCATGTCAAGTGATCATGGTGATGGAAGGTCTTGTACTGAATCTGGGATAATGACATGAAAATCACTTGCTTAAGTATTATACCTCTATTTTCTTCCAAAAAATCACTTCTATAAGTATTATTATTTTAATTACCCCCACACAAATTTCAACAAGCCGGAACAGTAAAATTTTGGTCGCAAACAGTAAAATTTTATTACATAATCTGTAAGATGAAACCTTGAATTTTACAGGAAAAATACTCCCACTGCTGGGAAAAATCTGTTAAGAAAGTATTAGTTCATTATGTAAAGCCTTCATTAAAGCATTTTTTTTCAACAAATACAGAATTTACAGATGAATGATTGCATCAAAGGCATAAACCTACAAAATCGCAGAATTTTTAATTTGCTACTTACATGACTTAAATAAGTGATTTATAAAATCACTTATTTCAGTGATTCCCTTGACTGATGACGTTAACAGTAATTTTTGGTGCATAAGAAAAATCAACTGATCTTGACGAATCTGTTATTTTTTTTCCAAAATAAACAGTAGCGGATAATTATTTGACACCTCTGAGGAATCAAGATAAGGATATTTTGAGGAATCACAATAAAATTTTAATCAATTTGACGCTAACGGTAGCCAAAAATGACTGTTTGACGCCTAACGGTAAAGGGCATTCCTACCTTCATATACATAGATATATGATATATAGCTGCACGCAGGATTGAATAACACGAAGAAGTCTTGTAGTATATCACTTGCCACATCAGCTAGCTTCCAAAGTGTTAATCTATCAAAGATTTGTTCTAAATTGCATTTAACAGGTTAGCAAGGTAGATTTCCCTCCCTGATATTTATGTACGCCTAACCTTACCGCCCCCTTTTGAGCCATTCTTTGAAGCATTATTTCAATATTATACAGAGTTAGGTTGATGATTGCAGAGAACTTGTTGTCGTACAAATATTTTAGAATATATTGAAGGCAAGCAAAATTAGTGCTAGAACTGTTCAATTACCTCAATTTCATCATCACTGTCCTGAATCTGGCTTCTCTCTGCAACACGAACTGCTGGAGCCATTGATGCACACGACCTCCTCCATTGCGTTGTGACAACCTTTCCACTTGACTGAAATGGTTGGGTTCTTGACCAAAAGGAAACTAAAATACTTGAAAGTCTTGTCATTGGTATTATTTTTCTTAAATAGTTCACTGATCACAAGTTCGTTTCATTACAAAACTGGTTTTCTGTACACTGTTGGTCATGTACTGCAATACTAAGTAACAGGGAACTAGTCTTACTTCTATGGTAATGTGTGAATTTCTATGTTAAGCAGGTAACCCTTATAAATTCACTGAGGATCACTTCTTAGTCACATTACATTTTGAATGTTTGCAAATATTTAATACCAGCAGAGACATGTCTCTGATACCAGCGATTTAAATTTTGTATGATACACCAAATAGATCAAAGGAAACAACTATCATTTTGGAAAGAGGATTAAACTTTATATAATAGTTCCCAGTATTATTGGACATTAATAAATTGTAGTTTGCTTTATATTACAGTGGTTGGCATATTTTTTAACCATCAGAAAATGGTATCCATATTTCAAGAACTTTATTTGTAAAAAAACATTATAAAAACTGGGACCTGAATAGATGAAAAATACAGGTTTTGGTCTGGCCTTTTTGTAAATTTCTCCCCAAGATTGAAGAATTCACAAAAGTTCAATTTCTTCATAATAATAGATACTTTAATCGAATATTAAATTCTCAGCAATTTGTAGTTTAAAAGATAACACAAGTCAATGGAGTGTCAATGAAAGTTTCTGGATGCAAAATTGCTATTCATTCTTAATGCAACTTTTTTCACTGGCTTTGATCTATTTTTGACATCAAAACCTCATTCAGTTGACATGCTCAGTGGCATTATGGCTTTCATACTGCATTAATAGAATAGGAAAATAATGGTACAGTATTGCATTTGAATATATCCCAACATCAATATTAGGGACTTTATAGCAGCAACCCTTCAAATACAGCTATCTGGACCATGTGTTTTTCATTGTTATTTATCTTTGTTTGTTAATCTATCTTTTGTCCCAAAATAGGGTGTTATTGTTTGGTGAAGTAGGTTGTACTGTCCAATATTTAATCAATTTAGGGACTCAGGCATTATATATGCTTGAGATGCATGGACGTCATTGTAACAGCATACAAAATTCAAGAAGATATATATTTAAAGTACTTATTTTCATAAAAACAGTTAATAAAAAAATCAACATGTCAACAGATAGCAAGTAAATATCCTGCATCATTGCAACTGTTTGTAAATGAGAAACACTGATGCTCATATAACAGTATGCCAAATATTAATGGTTGAACCTAAGAATATATTCAATGAAACAATGACTTTTAAATCAGGTTTAAACTCCTAAATCACTGCAACATAACTGAGGGTATTTATATACTGTTTCCAACTGAGATTTATAAGAAAATTTAAACACAGATTGACAAAATATCAATGGTCTATTACAATTACTCCTTCGGAATTAACAGACAGATTGTTAAGAGGTTCAGGATGCCCAGGCAAGAATTACCATCTACAATGTATGTTCTTCCTCATTTGTTTCAGGTAAGACAAGCCAAGCAGTCATCTCACAGGTTTATAAGCTCATCTAGACACTGCCTGTCTCAACGTTAAGATATCAAATCAGAATACATGTTCAGAAAATATCGTCATAAATACATTATTCAGTAATTAAGAACATATTACCCAATATTACAAAATTTATATCTTTTCACATCGACAACACTTTAAATATGTATCCTGGATAAATGCTGTTAGTCTACGAGTCTGTTTTAAACAGAATATTAACTTCTTTTGTTTCATTCCTTTATAATAAAAATACAGTGCAATATACTGATGACTTCTGTATCAAGACTCTGCCATCATTTCTGATTTATTGTTTTAGATTGTAGGTTTTCATTTTTCCAGTTACTCAAGTGTTTTTTCTTTTCTTGATATAGCCTGGTTTTCTTCAAACTCACCAGTAACCAATAGTAATCGATGTTTTTTCCCTCGAAATGTCAATTTTATGATCTTAGTGTTTTATTTTTATACTTTGTCAGTTACTCTCTTTGCTTGGTTTACTTAAATTAATATGTGTTTGTCAATTTTCTCGGGGACCTCGGTGGCAGAGTGGTCTAAGTAGTTGAACTACTGAATCACTAGCCAGTCAACACTGAGGTTGTCAGTTCGAACAGTTGGCAGGTGCACTCGACTCCAATCTTAATTGACTAGTATTGTCAGTTTTCCTACCGAAGGTCAGTGGTTCTCTCTGGGCACTCTGGCTTCCTCCACCAGTAAAAACTGACCGCCACGAAATAGCACAATAGTGTTGAAAGTGGCGTTAAAACACCAATCAATCAATCAATCAATCAATTTTCTCCTTGTTGTTGGTGGTTTCTCAAATGTTGAATTTTTAGCCACTGCTGTGGATCTTATTTTTCTGTATTTGTGAGTTACTAATGGTTAATTGTGAATCTTTATGTATTTCTCATTTGTCATGTGGTTTTCTCTGTTTGTGAATTTAGTAGTTGTTTGTTTTAATTTATTCATTAACAAATATATAAATTGAAAAATTTACTAAGATGATGATAATGAATTTATGTTTTAAGTCCAGTGGCATTTAAAACATGCATATAAGGATGTGAGCTTGTTAACGGAATATAATTATAAACCCTGCTTTGAACTAGACCTACACACTAGATCATATTTTTAATGTGCTAGTTCACAAGGCAACAGACTGCAACAAAACATGCCACCCTACCCGTCACATTATTTTGACCTCAAGCTAACCAGTCTTTGCTCTTTGCTTAATGGATGCAGCAAATACAGTTTCAAGTCTTTTGTTTGAGCCCAATGATTCTTATTAACACATGGTCGCCTGCACTCAAGGCAAGCACACTACCACTAGACCACAAAGGGGTGAAAATTAGCAAGACCAGGAGTTTTTGTTAAAAATTTCAGAAAATACTACTGTAAAGCTATAACACTTTGTAAATCTACATATACCGGTATCTGTTTTCAAAATCTTGATCAATACTTATAGGTTAAGCAATTATCATACTGTTCTATGTTTTATTGCAAAATAAATGATAACATTCAGTAGAAAATAAAGTTACACATAATGTCAAGTTGGCAAATCAGGATTTTTTATTCTTCTGTAATATATTAAGGAATTTTCCTCTTGTCATTTCTCTGGCTGAAAGTATAAAAATTATCCCATTATTGATCAATTATTTTTAACACAATATAAATCTAAAGAAAAACCTGTATAAAACTGTTAATTTCAAGCAATGTTCTATGCAAGGACCATAACACCTGCAAATACATGTATAACTCAACTGGACCAAAACTCAAACTTGATCTGCAGCTTCTAATGATAGGACTTTATACCCAATACCTTTTTTCTAGTAACTTTCTATGTTCTAAATCTACAACCACTGCAAAAAATTCTCAACCAGATAGAAAGATTGCAATACTATACTCTCCTTCCGCTTTGTGCATAGGGGACAAAAAAGATTAGCTCACTGAAGTTAAGACCATTGAAGACTATGACAATTACTATTTATGTTTGGTGAAGTGTCTGTGCAGGTGATTATAGAACTAGCTCTAGAAATATTTGATCATTCAATTTTGTATAAAAAAAATTCGTAAGGGTTCCGCGGAACCCAGTGTCTCGCCTACTTTTGGTGTTAATCGCAGGCTCAACAAAATTGAGGAAAAAAATTAATTAAAATATTCCTCTCTATACTATCTTTTGATTGTAAGTAGCTTCTGTCCAAGTTTGGTAAAAATCCAGGATAATTTATGAATCTAATAAATGTTTTAAAAACTTAAACTGCAGAATGTATGTAATGTTGACTGGAAGAAAAACTAAGTCCATTTATAAGTAAAATATGGAAAAAATGGAACAAAATTTTATCAAAATTTCCTTCTAGATACTAGCTTTTGATCATAAATAAGCTTCTGTCCAAGTGTGGTACAAATCCAGGATAGTTTAAGAAAGTTGTTAAAATTTTAAAAACTTTAACCACGGAGTGAATGTAATGTTAACTGGCAGAAAAACTAAGTCCATTTATAAGTAAAATACGGAAAAAATGGAATTTTTTTTTTTACAAAATTTACTTCTGGATACTATCTTATGATCATAAACAAGCTTCTTTCCAAGTTTGGTAGAAATCCAGGATAGTTTAAGAAAGTTATTAAAATTTCAAAAACTTTAACCACAGAGTGAATGTAATGTTTCCTGGCAGAAAAACTAAGTCCACTTATAAGTAAAATACGGAAAAAATGGAATTTTTTTTTTTACAAAATTTACTTTTGAATATAATCTAATGATCATAAACAAGCTTCTGTCCAAGTTTGGTAGAAATCCAGGATAGTTTAAGAAAGTTATTAAAATTTCAAAAACTTTAACCACAGAGTGAATGTAATGTTTCCTGGCAGAAAAACTAAGTCCACTTATAAGTAAAATACGGAAAAAATGGAATTTTTTTTTTACAAAATTTACCTTTGAATATAATCTTATGATCATAAACAAGCTTCTGTCCAAGTTTGGTAGAAATCCAGGATAATTTAAGAAAGTTATTAAAATTTCAAAAACTTTAACCACAGAGTGAATATTTGTGGACGCCGCCGACGACGACGCCGACGGAATGTAGGATCGCTATGTCTCGCTTTTTCGACAAAAGTCGAAGGCTCGACAAAAACTATGTTTGAACTAAATAAAACTAGGCCATGCTCAATATAATATTTTGTTTCAATAAAATATATGTTTTAATCATTTTTCAAGCCTATACTTCATTGATAAAATTAGTGTAATGAACAATAAGTTTAAATGATAAACTGATGCAGCTGCTGACCTATGAACATTTAAATGTTACATATAATTTTTAAGGAAATTGAAGTCTGTAAAAAAACATTTGTTTATGTGTTTATAAAGTATACATAACTACAAAAGATGAATTTCTTAAAATATCATTCATGATGAAACCCTGTTAAACAAAATAGATTTTATTGTTTAGGAACAGTTCATATTGCTATCTACAAAAGTAGCATAACAATTTACAGCAGCAGGTGAATAAAATTACTATGTACCGGTATGTGGGAGTTGTGGGATCAAGAAATTTACATGAGATGATTTGTAAAAACTGTATTTTTTCATTTAAGAAACTTCACATAAATAATTTAGCTGTTTACAATATAAAATAATAGCTGAAGATTAAATGCGATTACTCAAACCGTATTTTTTTTCCATTGCTTTTGCTATTGTTTCCATTAACTGCTTTTTCAATGTACAGGAACTGTATTCAAGTAAATACTATATGATAAAGATTGAAAGGGTACACTTATATAAGAAAAGTTACTTAAGATAGATCAACACAGGTAAAATGTGTATGTATGGACATCCATCTTAAATATTTTGATCAGCCATGAATGTGTAGCTTTTTCTTTAATAAATAAATATATCAAAACAATTTATTCAGCATTATGTTGGAAACACAATTGTTTAATCTTATTTCTCAGAAATAGTTTAGAACAACAATAGTTTTATAGACTTATTAATGAATCATAATCTCTAATATTGGCAAAGAGAGCTGGCTGGTGAAAAATATGTCTCATTCAAGGGGAGATAATTCTACTAGATATTACCAGTACTATAAATAACCCAATATTTGCACTTTTATCGAAAACAGAAAAAGCTTAATCCAGTAGACCATTTTTCTTTTTATTTCATGAAAATATAATTTACTGTTAGACTAATGAACCAAAAAATTATTTCAATATCAACACGCATAACAAAAAATGTTAGGACAACTGTTGGATTTCATGAGCACAGAAATAAGTAATACTATATGCAAAGGTTATAGATTGGCAGAGGGTATAAAAATCAAGAAATTGTAAATCTATATTATATTACAGTTATTATATCTATAAAGTAAAATATCACCACCATAAAAAATAAATGGGGAATATGTCCATGGGACAGATGATGCCCCCGCTTGCATACAACATTATAAAGGGACATAACTCAAGAACGGTAAAGGTGAAACTACCCAAATTCATACTTGATCTGAGTTTTGTGGTAATAAGCATTGTGCTTAAGTTTCATAACATTTGGTTGAGGTAAACTTAAGTTAGAGAACAGAAACAAAAAATTCAGCAATTTTTCCAATTGTAAAGGGGCATAACTCTAGAACAGTAAAAGTGACGCCACCAAAATTCAAACTTGATCTGTATTTTGTGGTAATAAGCATTGTGTATAAGAGTCATAACATTTGGTTGAGGCAAACTAAAGTTAGAGAACGGAAACCAATTTCGGGAAATGATGTAAGGACGTATGGACGGACTTACAGATGGACGTACAGACGGACAAGGATAAAACTTAATGCCCCCTCAGCTACGACGGGGACATAAAAATGTTTGATTATTTTGGTAAGCATTTTTAAAGATATTCAAGGTATGATAAAATTACTACAAATATCCTATACTAAATACCTTCATCTAGTCCAAGTTGATATGCCAAATTTTGTAAACCTCGGATTTTCTCCATCAACTGAGAGGTAGTTAAGCTTCCAAATTCTACAATGACAAACTTAATAAGATCAGTTTTGAAATATTTTTGAATACTGTGGATTCATTATTATTTGTGGGATACCAATTTTTGTGGATGTCGTGGGTAAAGGCAAACAACAAATTTAAAAGTTCAAAGAAGTACAAATTTTCTATAGGCTTGTTTGCATACTTTGGCAAAACCACGAAATCAAATACCCATGAAAATAAATGAAACCACAGTTATGTGTTTTAGTTATAAATTTATAAGTATCTACATGAAAACATCCATGGGTGGTAGCACTCTAAAAATAGTAATGCACTGTAGCCCATACACCCTCAGACAAAGAATGTCCAATACAACAATACGATAGGTTATTTTGTGAACAAAATTAAATTGCTTCTTAGATATTCTAATGTCCACCAGAGCATCAACAATATTTCTATGATTTTTTTTTCAGTTTTACAAAATCAATTTAATGCCAGACAAAATGCTAAAGTGGTCAGATGGCTGTAAGATAAGTAACTGGTAAGGCTATGGATCATCACCAGACACTGTTCATTATGTGTTTTGGTATATACTATATTTTTTTTTTGGCACTAAGATAAGTAATTAATAGAATGTGGTACGAAATTGTTCTTATCAAATCTCAGACACGCTGTCTAGTACTTAAAAGTATCCTATGCATTGTCTGGTACTTAAAAGTATCCTATGCATACTGTTTTCAAAAGATTACCAGTACTAGTAACATGCATAGATTTATATGTAAAAAAATTCAAACAATACAACTAACGGCCTGATTTAGCCACTATAGCATATTGTTATAAATTTTCCTCAACACATCATTTTCCTTTAGCTATAGCAGAATCATGTTTGTACAAATATAATAATTATAAATTACTTCTGCATATACCAACCTTGTAAAAGACCTATATCTTCATTCTCTAACTCTGTCATCCATTTAGACGGAGTGCTTGTTCCTGATAAAGGCTGCAATATATACAATATAAATTTGCACAACTGTTCAAATAAGACTGACTGAGTTATTTTTCAGATAGGGATGGTCATGAACTTGCAGTCATGTTCAAAGGTCACCTTCAATGACTTGAAGATAAAGAAAGTTATGAGGCACTCGGTACTAACTTTTTTTTGGTGGTGGGTTTAAATGACATTCATATTTATAACACAAGAACATGTTCCCGTCCTGAATACACATTTAATAATCCTCTACATAAAATAGCCATCCAGTCACCCCTCCATCAAAAGCATGCCATTACCATATTGTTGACAATTATTTTTTTTAATATTTCAAAAAGGGTTTACAAAATATTGAAAAATTTGAAAAAAGTGAGAAGGATAATTGTTGAAACAAATTTGACTGGACATTTGGTTTCTCCCCCTTGACATTTTAGACTTGGTATATCCAGATGAACATACTTTATCTCAAAACAGCACTGTCCAATTGGTTAATAGGTAAATCTTTCAGAGAGTAGTTTATCACACATTAAATGTTAGTTCAGTCCAAATTTTTAACAGGTAAACAAGATCATATTATACTCTTCACAAAATGAATGATGATGATCACTCAGTTAAAAGTTTTAAGTACCGGTATTCATATGATAGATCATTTAATCACTATCATTATAAATGATCTTATTTATACCATCATGTAAAACATGTTGATTTTAAAATTCAGAAAAGTGTTCAAATGTGAATACTGCTTGTGGTCAAATTGTGAAATAAAGAAAGGCTGAGTTCTTCTTTTTCAGATAAACCTTAGAACATGTTCACACATTTGAACTAAAAACATCTCAATTATTAATGGCCAAATATTTGTCAAGAATTCATTATCAGTGAAATGAAGATAATAAATTCACGATTTCCTCTCCAGCCATTTAAGTAGTGGGCTAGTCTAAGTATATTTAAATAAAGCTCAAATTTTGGTTTATCCCATTAGCAGTCCAGTTTATTTTAGAGCAGGTAAATCTGGTTAGGAAAAGTGCATGTTCCATTTGAATAACCCAGTCTAAAATGGTTCATCCCAATGATAGTCTAGTCCAAGATATCAAACTAAATTGTATTGGGTAATAATATTTTAAGACCTGTCTCATCATTGATGATCAATGCAAATGTATTAGCCTTCACTGATTGGGTTTTTTATAATTCTTGAGAAATGATTATGATATTAAAAAAAAAAACAAATATGAATTGGTCATTAATAAGTGTAATAAATTAAAAAAAAAAGAATACTATCAAATAATGAGCCCATTCCAAAGTTCTAGCAAAATATGCAAGCAAGGTTCCTTGTGGAGTACATATTGGGTGGAAAAATATGGTAATTGGTAATTCTGTATAGTCACCAGTGGGAAAATTGGCTGATAGAAATTACTAAAATCTTTTAAGCATGTCTGGACAAATTGAAAAATATGTTAAGTATCCATCCAAAAAAAATTTTGCGGGTATAAACAAGAGTGCACACGCTGAAATGTCTCGCCTTCTTTACTAATCATTGATATTATGTTGATAGTCCTAAATATAAAGCTTTATTACAACTGTCACATAAACTTAACATTAACCAAGTAAACTAAACATTGACCAATGAACCATGAAAATTAGGTCAAGGTCAGATGAACCATGCTAGGCAGGCATGTACAGCTAACAATTCTTCCATACTACAAATTTAACTGACCTATTGCTTATAGTTTAAGAAAAACAGACCAAAACACAAAAACTTAACACTAAGCAATGAACCTTGAAAATGAGGTCAAGGTCACATAAAACCTGCGTGACTGACATTTAGATCATAAAATATTTTCATACACCAAATATAGCTGAACTATTGCATATAGTATTAGAAAAACAGACCAAAACACAAAAACTTAACTTTGACCACTGAACCATGAAAATGAGGTCAAGGTCAGATGACACCTGCCAGCTAGACATGTACACCTTACAATCATTCCATACACCAAATATAGTAGACCTATTGCATACAGTATAAGAAAAACAGACCAAAACACAAAAACTTAACTATAACCACTGAACCATGAAAATGAGGTCAAGGTCAGATGACACCTGCCAGTTGGACATGTACACCTTACAGTCCTTCCATACACCGAATATACGAGACCTATTGCTTATAGTATATGAGATATGGACTTGACCACGAAAACTTAACCTTGTTCACTGATCCATGAAATGAGGTCGAGGTCAAATGAAAACTGTATGACGGTCATCAGGACCTTGTTAGGTACGCACATACCAAATATAGTTATCCTATTACTTATAATAAGAGAGAATTTAACATTACAAAAAATCTTAACTTTTTTTTCAATTAGTCACTGAACCATGAAAATGAGGTCAAGGACATTGGACATGTGACTGACTGAAACTTCGTAATATGAGGCATCCAGCTCTTCCACCTTCTAAAATATAAAGCTTTAAAGAAGTTAGCTAACGCCGCCGCCGGATCACAATCCCTATGTCGAGCTTTCTGCGACAAAAGTCGCAGGCTCGACAAAAATTGATAGTTTGAATAGTTTTAACATTGAAAAATACTAATAAAAATTACCATGCTCCAACTATCATAGAAAATGCAAATAGATGAAGAATTTACAAAGGGACATAACTCAGGAATGGTGAAATTGACACCACCCAAATTCAAACTTGATCTGTGTTCGGTGGTAATAAGCATTGTGTATAAGTTTTATAATATTTGATTGAAGCAAACTAAAGTTAGAGAACGGAAACTAATTTTGGGACATACAGACAGACAAGGGTAAATCTTTATGCCCCTTCCACCACAGTGGGGGCATGAAAAAAAAAACAATAAATTAAATTGATCGGACATTTTTTATCATTCTAGATCTGTATATTGTCTATTCAAATACAAAGTGCAAATGTTTTAACAACACCATGGTTACTTACACTCTTAGCAGCTGCAAATTCTGATACACCAGGAACTGAAAGAAATAAAAATCAAGCATAGTATATTTTCATGGAACTTTATGCATTTATGTATTTTTATCTTTAATAGTATAAAACTGTCTGAATGTCATTCTTCTAAATACTTGTTCAAGATATGTCATGTGGATACTAAATATTTAATATATGTGGCACAAACAGCTTTGTAGTATAACACAAATTATCACAGTTTTAAGAAAACAATGAAAATAATCCTACACAGTATTTTCAAATGAATGCCAATGCAACCTTTTTTCTAGGTATTTATTTTTGTAGTGTTAAAAACTTACTTTGTTCTGGCCAAAGATCTGGAGATGCTCTATCCAACTTTTCAAAGCTCATAAGATCTGGCTCCTCTGCTTCTAAAAATATCATGAAATGCTTTGCTTTGAGTCAAAATTTAAGAAAATATTAATCTATTCCTCGGAGCTGTAATGTGTGCAGCCACTTCAGAGATGTTAATTCATTCTGATTTAATATGATATATATGAAATGAAACTTTTTAAAACTGTTTTTTAAACATAAGAATTAAAATGAACATCTGACCAATTTCCATAATTAGATGTTCTACTTTTGTGTGTATTTGTAATCAAACTGACCAACTTCTCCTTAGCAGATAGCTATTTCTGAAACATGGCAAGATTCTTTACAAAATTTAAGTAAAGAAAAAAATATATATTAGTGATGCTACACAGATGCAGCTGTGTTTCATGATAGAGATCAAAACACAATAAATGAGTCTGGTGAAGAGGAATGTTGAGGATCCTGTACCAGAAAACAACATTAAGTAACATTAAGTAAGTTTTTGAATTTAACTTGCATAGACTTTTTGGGTATTGTTATACAAGTGATTGTTTTACTGCATTTTATGTGACACTTGACACATCCCCCCCCCTTTAACTAAAGTTACTTTACTTCTACTTTACAACACAATCTTTTATTTTATTAAATTATCCTGAACTGAAGAGCATTGTTATGTACTTTATTAATAACTTTAAAAAAATTCTTAAATTCCAGGTTTATTTATCATATTTATGTTAAATGTATTACTAATATTTCATTTAGAAATATTTTTAATGATCTGTATTACAAGGTAACTGTGTGTTCATAGGTCATAGTTTAAATAAATTTTAGTTTTGACCATTGAGAAAAATCCTTACTGAATTTATCATCTAACTAAATGTATGAAAATCACACTTAAAATAGACCAGATATTCAATGTTATCCCAAGCTTTAACTTATCAAAATACAATCTACAGCAAAATTATATATCCATTGATTTGAAAATAATCCCATACTACTGTAAAAAGAATTTCTAATCAGGTCAACAAAGTAAAACAACAGGGCCAGGTCAGCAATAATTGTGTAATTTGTTTTTCCTCATCAACCTTCTTTCATCTCAAGCATGAGGAACAAATTTCCCTATAGATTGTTAAACAGGCCTAACAAGGAAAGCAGAGGACAGCCAAATCAATAAACACTGTACTGGCCGCTGAATCTCAAGAGGGATGATTGTTTTTAAGCATATATATAGCGCAATTCTTTATTTTGCTGCTCTCAACATAACTTAGCATTGGCTAAGAAAGTAAACAGCTGGGGTGTTTTTAAATTCTTTTCCTTCTTTGTTAGCTATATATATATATAGGGTTTCAGTCAAGATTTGGGTTAGGTTAAGTTTAGGGTGGAAACTAGTTGCAGAACAGTAGCTTTTGCGCTCCTTGGGATAGATCTATGGTTCACAAAAACAACAAAAATATCCTAAAGGACCTACATGTAGTCCAGATAATTATGACATCTTGAAAGGTTATCTTGATTTTTGCTTTGTTACCTTCCAGAGGGATCTATAAAAGTTAATAAAAAAATACCCTCAACTGACAACACTTCAAACATGTGTCAAACAAAGCATTTTACTTACTTTAATTTGTGTTTAAAAAATTGGATCATAAACTATACAAATTTTAAAATGTTCACTTCCTACACGTTTTCCTCCCTCAGCTCATTGCTGATGACTTTTTTTTGCAACAATTGACCTAAACAGGAAGTTGTCTATAAAATGACTGTTTTTTTTCAAAATCATATAAAATTTATTTAAAGTTGGTAAAAAACATTAAATGTTTGGCACTAAATGTTTTACTGTATTTTATGCTTTTTACCAACTTTGAATAAACTTTTAATATTTGATTTTGTGCAGACTTGAGCGTCACAAAAATAATCAGGCAAAAAGAATACATCTGTTAATTCAAATGTACTAGGCATTACTGTTTAAATACATGGTATCTGGTTCAACTTCAGGTGAGTAAAACTGAGATGGTTTTCAAAATCTTGGGGTAGCTATAAAATTTCGGACTGAACTACAAAAACTGTTTTGGGAGCAGGTGAAGCACAGGGGCTTGTTTAAGACTTATTGTTATGGGCACGGTGTGCGTTTGTGGTAGAAAAGATAGAAAGGTATACTGCAGTATTCATTCATATAATCTTTTACTTAAGTGGATAATGTTAATATGTATTCATTATGACAAATGTATTGTTTTTGACTTTCAATTTACCCGCATTTGTTGTCATTTTGGCACAAATTAGTAATTTTAGAGTCACAATCGGTGATGGATTTGTGACATAATATAGACTAATACCAATAAAATAGATAAATGACAACGGTCGATAAATCACATATAATTAAAATCTAATATGATACAGGATTTCGCTTAAACATTTAAAACAAAACTTATATGAAAATTGGAATGACATCTTACACACAGGAGTGAAAAAAGGTTTAAAAAATGATATTCTACATTTTGGCAAAGTATAAGAAAATTCTATCTTGGGAAATATTTAATGATGATACACCATAACTATTATTTGTGAACTACCAATGTATCTTTTATAATTTAATTGTTATGCTGTAATTATTGTGAAATTGTTATATTTTGAGAGTATGCACCTTGAGGGTCCATGATGTCTCTTTATATTTTTTTTTTTTTTTTTAATTTTTGTACTTGTATTTGCATTTGTTTTTGAAATGTGACAGCTGGTATCATTCCTGTATTGGAATTTACACCAATAAAATTATTTGATTTGTGTTTTATATAAATTCTTTTAAGAGTAATGGTAATATAAAATTATATCCTGCAATGTAAGGTACAACTTGACACATCCTTGATCCAGGATCAATATTAGTTTAAATCTACCCAGTTGTTCCAAATTAAAGTGGCGATATTTGAAAAAATTATCATAATTAAGGCCTTTGTGAAAACTACAGCAATACTTAAGGTGTTCATCTTGTGGAGATTCTTGGTGGGATCAATGGATGCATTAATTTGAAAGCCAAACATTTGTTATAAAGTTGTCAGAGAGACAGCAAACCGGATTTTCCTGCAGAGGTCGAACCCTGAACAGTTGAGCAAGTATGGACACAACATTTAAACTTAAAACAGCTCTGAATTTGGATTGTGATTGAATATTTGATACAGCATAGGTTTGTGAAACAAAATAAATGTGGTCAAAGAACTGTAAAATTTGAAATCGGACATTTACCTATCATGGTCCAATATCCAAAATCTATGTACATTGCTAGAATCAGCATATCAAGGAACCCCAAGAATTCAATTTTTGATGAAATACTTCTTAGTTAAACTGTTTCTGTTCAAAGGGAAATAACTTTATTTCCATGAACCAATAATGTAAATCTAAAATTAGATATGATTTAACTATAGTTCTCTAAAAAAATTAGATATGATGTAATTAGATATGATGTTAAATTTATTTTCAAATTATAATCATATATAATTAATAGTTTTCAAATAAATCTGTCACTACAATTATAATTGGGTGATTGACAATTACCAAATGGTGTGTTATCTTGATAAAAGGTGAAAATCATTTAAAAACACTTAGTGTAATCAAACTTTATATATATAGTTAATAGTTCCCAATATTTTTTCTTTCATTTGTAACAAACTAATAAAGATCTGCAACTTATCTATGAAATTCTACAACTTTATCAACACAATGTAATGTAATGAAATATATCCTTTAATACAAATAGATTATTATCTAATGAATTTGCAAATCTGGAACAGGATCAAGTAAAAATTAAAATAAACACACACTCAGACAATTAGTTTATACAGAATAACAAACAAACCTACCACAAAATTGTTCAAACAATTTACCAAAGAAAAGAAAAAAAATTCCAAAATGTCATTTATCATTAATACAATGTCTTTTAAAAATCTTTTTAAAAATGAGTTATTTCCCTTCGTACAGAAATGGATTAATTCATCAAAAATTGAATTCTTGGAAAAGGGCTATAACTGACTAACGAGAAAAGCTAAAATCGTGAAAATTGAACTTGGCCTTCATTTAGTCACAGGAAACAACATATCTAAATTTGAAAAATTTCTTCAAAGCGTTTTCATGTAAATGAACAGACCCACCCATCTGCCCGCCCGTCCGCCCGCCGTACATCGCCAAATCAATAACCGATTTTTTACCTTGAAAATCTGGTTAAAAATCAATCAAGCTTTGATAATATCTTAAGAATTTTTTCCTTTGAAGTATCTGGTATATGGTATATCTTTATTACTCTGTAAAACTTATCTATCATTTGTCTAGAATAATGGTAACTTAAACTAACTATTTGACCAACATCCATGTAAATCTAAATTGTTGTTCAATATACTTGTTTTTGCGATTGCAATCAGAACTTTGTTGTCTTCAGGTATCTTTTTAAAGTTTTGATATCTTTTATATCCAATGAGCTAATCAGTAAGTTATCTCCTTTTCATAAAAATGTTATCTAACTTTTGTTTAGACTGCTGTTAACCTATCATTTAAAATCAAGTTATTGAACTAACACTCAACAAAGAAAACATGGGCTGTATTTAAGAGGCATGATACCAACAACAGGACTTAATAGACATGTATATAGTAGACTGAAATTTCAGTTTGTTTGATAGAAATCTAAGACAAGTGGGAACAATCTGGATCATTACTGCTAAAATCAGGTCATTTGGCAGGTATGAGCATCCTCTTTATTATCCCATATGGTGTAATAATAAAATTACATGCATGTTTCATAAGAATCTGTTATTTTCATTGGTAGACATCAATCAGGAGGCATTCCAATATTTCCAAATAAAATGCAACCTTCATGTCTGTTCCTGCTTCACATGACAACATCACAACAATACACAGGAAAGCAAACAAAAAGAAAGATAAACTCGTTATTTTATGGTTGTAGCATAAATTGTAATTTTAAGAATTAATGCTTCTTTTATTTTATAGGGTTGTTATTGTGTTGATCCTGCACACATTTTTAGTATGAAGCGCTTCTGCCAACTTGGTGCCAAACATAAAAATTAAACTCTGATTTGCAAGTGACATTTTTTAAATATGCATCAATGTAAAGAACCTACATTTTATGTGCCTGTCCCAAGTCAGGAACCTTGTCAATAGAAGTATATCATATCTCAATACTTTTTGCTATTTGGAGAATTGGGTATTGATGTCACATCTTTGGGTGTTCCTGTTAAATTCATTCAAAACTTATATCAACTTTGGATGATTTAGAGCTTGAAATATTGTTGACACCTGCTTATTGTTGAAGACAATATGTTGCTCTCTAAATGTATTTTGGTTGTTTTTTTTCATTGGGTTGCTGTCTGATTTACATATACTTCACATCTCCCTTTATTTGTATCTGCAGATCTATAAGTGAGTCATACATTACAGCCTACCAATACAAAGCTTGGTGAACAAAATATCAAGAAGCTCTGGACTGTAATTGTTTAGAATAATGTGATGAAAACTTCTTATATATGCATCAACCATTGTCGATGTGAAAAACATACATGTTTAGGGCAAACAGGAAGTAGAAAAGTGACAGATCTGTAAATGTGTCACATGGTACAGTTCTCCAATATGAAGCTTGGTATTAATTATCAAGAAGCTGATTTGCATTTGCATAGAAACAAGCATTCTGAGAGTATTGCATGGCAATACATAGTCCCCTACCGGTTAAAAATTAATTGTACAGGAACAAAATGCTAACTTGATCTATAACTTGTCATGGTGTAAACTATATAACAAATATCAAGTCAATATCTTCAAGCATGACGAAAAAAAGTGCGGAAAACTGATAATTTAAGTGAATTTTCTAAGTCCAAGGACCATAACTCTGCAAAAAATCATCAAACCGAAACAAAATTCAAATTTGGTCTGTAACTTGTCATGATAAAACTATATACCAATTATCAAATCAATATTTTCAAGCATGACGAAAAAAAGTGCGGAAAACTGATTATTTGAGTGAATTTTCTAAGTCCAAGGACCATAACTCAGCACAAAATCATCAGACCGGAACAAAATTCGAACTTGATCTGTAACTTGTCATGATAAAACAATGTACCAATTATTAAATCAATATCTTCAAGAATGACGAAAAAAAGTGTGGAAAACTGAATATTTTAGTGAATTTTCCAAGTCCAAGGACCATAACTCTGCACAAAATTATCAGACCGGAACAAAATTCGAAACTGATCTGTAATTTGTCATGATAAAACAATACGCCAAATATTAAATCAATATCTTCAAGCATGAAGAAAAAAGTGTGGAAAACTGATTTGCCGGACTGACAGAAGGACAGACGGACAGGCAGACAGACAGACGGAGTGCAAACCTAAAGTCCTCTTCGACTTCGTCAGTAGAAGACTAAAAAATGACCGAAATGTTTTATGGACAAGTACATGAAAGGACAGATAGAAAGAGTAAGCTAGTATATCCACACCATTGAATAGGGGTATAAATATTTTTAGCCTTTTCTAGTCGACTTAGCAACAATTCAATTTCCAAGTTTCTAGTCTTTAAAATTAATTCGCATAGGAAAAGATCCAAGTTTGACATATTATGAAAAACACATGATATCATTTTTTATAATTTGTTTATTTACAAATGTGTATGTGTATAAATATTTCATTCATCATTTAAAAAAATAAATGATAAAAGTATCATATAAATTTCATAACAATTCTGTATAATCTGATAAATACACAAAATGCAAATGCTTATCACTTGTATAAATCTCAATAAAATACATATTCAAATGTATATATTAATAACACTTCAAAAATAAGAAATTTTGTTCAAGTGAGCAAGTCTGGAAACATTATGACTACCATCAACTTAAGTTTTCTAATTCAACAATGCCCCATCTAAGCATATCTGATTATAACAGTTTACCACAATCCCAAAATTAAAAAAAATTATGCAATGTTTGTTTATTTCATGATTGGCATGGCATATGGACTAGCTTTGGATGTTAAATCTGCATCATCGGATCTCCACATCTGAGTGACTGTTTTTAACTGTGTGTAAAAGTTCACTCCCTGTAAAAGATATGGTATGTGTTTTACTATAAATCTACATTACAGACATTGTTAGTGAACATGCTATTAACAGTTACATGAAATATATTTGGATGACCAATTAGCCGTTTTCTTTTTTCAATTTAATAATTTTGTTCTGATTATTTACATTTCAATTATATAAATATAACATTTTCCTATTTTACTTGTGTTTTATGATTTTCTGTATTTCAAAGTAATCTTGTTTTAAGAAGAAATTTGTAAATGGTTTTGTTTTGTTTGATCCGATTAAAGGGAAGTATTTAAATTTCTGATTTGTTCACTCATCATGGAAATATACACATGCAGGGACATTATGTCCTCGTTTTTGGAAAAGGTTGCTGTTTTCAGAAAAAGCAATAACTAAGCTTGCTTAAGAGTTCATTTTTTTCAAAAAAATTCAAAAACATCTGTAAATTTCAAAATTAAAAACATTTTGTGGTTTCATTCAAAAGTGTCGGTAAATGGTCTTCCTAACCATGAAATATTAATAAGATTTAATCATTAATCATTAAATCAATTTAATAAATTGAGAGTATCATCTGCTCAATAAGAGTTAAATTTTCTTTAATTTTTAATGACATGAGCATCTTACTTTCATAAGCGGCTTTTCTGCTTTTATTTGATATAAAATTGCATGCTTTTCATGATTTGTTCATTCAAACATACTATTTGTTGTTTTTTATTATGATTATTGGATAGTTTGTTTTACAATTTGTCTATAATGAAGGTAATCTGGAATTGTTGGAAATATTACGAGTGATTTCAATGAATTGGGTTATCTTTTATACATGTATACCGAATCGCTAACTTTACATCTGTTGGCTTCTTTCGAATATTTAATAACAAAAATCCTCACACAAGAAACCTGTTTTTTGTTACATGTACTACATGTATTAATTAGAAATAATGTATGAATATAACTTCTGGTAACACTTTATATGTTTAAACAATAATTCCAAACGGAGTTCCTGTTAATTCATGATGGTAACTGGTACTAGACTTGTAAGAGTACTTTATATTGATTGCTATAAATGATATATGTAATACTTACAGCTTTTCCATAGAAGTTTTGGTCACCCTTGAATGATCCTCTAGAACCGGTGAAGGAGAACATGGGTAATGGAACTGGGATAGGTACATTGACTCCAACCTGTTTATAAAAAGATTTTTAGATAAATGTAAAGAGAGAACATAAACTAATAAAGTTGAATTGTTTATAGAAAACCTTGTGTCTTTCTGTTGAGAAAGACGCTGTCAGTTTATCATCAGTACAACACAATAACAGTTTATTGTCATATAATAGATCACTAGCATTGTACATATAAAATGTATAGACACAAGTAAAATATTCACAAATATTTGAGTAACAGTTGTGAACCATTTATAAGAAGCAATAATTTTTTTGGAAATTTCTAAGTTCTTAAATATCTTCACTAAATAGAGCATCACAGCTAAAGTGTTCATTTTTTGTTTATTTGCATTCCTGAAACAAATGATATAGATGTTCAATGGCTTGGCACACAATCTACAATCTAAATCATTTAAACATTCTGTGTATTGAAAATTTAAAAACCCAGTTGTAATGATTTACAATGTTTTCTCTATCTTGAAACTACCAAAGGAAGTTATAGCAATGACAAATACAGAACTTGTTCACTCTGAACGATGTTAAGAAGTAATCAATCAACTGGAAGAAATGTTATATTATATGCTTTAGTCTTCCCTTTACAACGCTGATCAAGAATGTACTAAACTATGTAGAATACCACAGCTTATTTTTGATAGTTTGCATACCTGTAATAAATGATATAGGTTTTCAATGGGTTGAGCACACAATCTGTAATCTAAATCCTTCAAACAGTTTTTTTTTAATATTTTTACACAGGAACATATTAAATCTCCCCATGTATTGAAAATAAAAAAAAAACAGTTTTACTGATTAAGTTTGTATTCTCTACCTCAAAACAACCAAAAGATGTTATAGCTATGAAAAATATATAACTTGTTCACTCTGAATCACATTAAAAGGTAATCGATCAGCTTGAAGAAATATTATATGTTATGCTTGTCTTTATTTTACATCTCTGATCAAGGATGTACTTAACTTTACAGAACAGCTTTTAAATCTGTTTCTAATTTTATTTATAAACTAGAAAACAAAGGACATCTCACATAGCAGTAATATAATCTGGTTCTACTATTTTGGTATGAAGACTTTTTGACCCCAGTCAATGACAAATATAACATCTATGCCTCAGTAATAAAGGCAGCTACTGCCTTTATAAAAATGCTTTTACCATAGTTTGACAAAAATGATATTAAAAAACAAACAACATCCAATCTAATACATACCTGTCCAACATCAGTATCCATTGTAAACTTTCTGGCTGTAGCACCATTGTTAGTAAAGATTGCTGTTCCATTTCCATAGGGATTAGCATTAATCACGTTAATAGCATCATCTAATGTTTCAACTTCCATACTGACCAACACTGGGCCAAATATTTCTTCTGTGTAACATTTCATTTCAGGCTGTAAAAATACAATCATTACACATTTGTCATGAATTTGAGTATCAATAATTATGTGCAAATTATAACAATAGTATTGATATATTTTATATTTTTTTATCATGAAGAGAACTTTTGTTTCATTTTGCAAAGAATGAGCAAAGATGGTAAATTCAATTGTCACAAGTAAATGATAATTTTAAATATTAAGGACACAGAAATAAGTTTGCACTTATATTCCTTTGAGTTGCTAATAGTTGAAAGATCTTCAAATAGAAATGATGCAATGCATTTTAAATATATTACAAATTCTAAAAGTACTTTCAAAGAAAATTAATATTTCAGTGTAGACTTTTCTTCATATATATCATGTAAATGCTCAATAAAATTGGAAATGCCCTAAAAATATTGATTTATTACAAATTCTCAAAACTACATCGGCTTAATTTGGAAAGTTATATTGAACATTAAGAAAGTATCACTCAAGAAGTTGAAATATTGAGAGCCGTCAAATTCTGAACAAATTCATATTTACGCTGAAAAATGTACTGTACATTGTCATTTTCAATTAATCAGCATAAACAAATTCTACTTTATGCATACTGTTAACCAACTTATTTTTGCAGATATATTTTTACGTTTTTAGCCTTAGTCAGCCAACTTCAAAGCGATTTGTTATCAATATTTTCTTACTTTGCTGTGTATTCATATTAGAGTGATCCAAGTTTTTTTTTTTACTATTTTTATTCACATTTTCCCTACTTATGAAAATGGCAAACTTGATTTAGTTTACAGAATACTACTGTTTAGTTAATTAATGTTTTACCTTAACATAGTGCATAACAGTAGGTCCAACAAAGTTTCCCTGTTCATAACCCTTGACTGTTATATCTCTACCATCTAGCAAAAGTTGTGCTCCTTCATCAATACCACTCTGAACCAAGTCACAAACTCTTTTCTTAGATTCAGGTGAAATGAGTGGTCCTATGTCAGCATCTGGTTCATTTCCTTTTAATAAAATAAACTATTGTCACAGAGATATGTTTCATCTTATACTGTATGTACTGGTAATTCTTTTGAATAATGCAAATGTTGAAATAAAAGTTGCAACACTTCAAAAATTGAAAAACTTTCAAAGTCAATGGACCATGACTGAGAGTGCAGGGTCAAATGATCTCCATGGAAATGAGATGGTACAATTCTTATACAACTGCATCATAAATATCCTTGACTTGCCATTACTGTTTCCCGTAAAACTGACCTTATCAGAAATTTTACATGTTAACTGTGCAGAAGATTCAAAATCAATTTACCATGACTGAGGAGAAAGGACAAATTAATCTCATAGGATATCAGATGTGACACTGCTAATATAACTGCAAACCAAATATCATTGACTTACCATTAATGATTCTGACATTTTAAAAGAGAACTAATCACAACTTTAAATAATTGTAAACACTGCCACCAATGCGACCAGAAACACCTGATGACTTTGGCGCAAGCAAGACAATAATATTAGATTAATTGTACAAGTACTATTGTGCTACATTAAATCCAAAAAAAATATGGTTTGGCACATCAAGTTCAACATGGCTTACAAAATGCAAAAAATAAGCAGAAATGATCAAAAACTTGTTTATACTTTGGTCCACATCTTCCATTACACTGTGTGAGGCATAAGTTTGTTAAAGTGAACAAGATCCACCAAAATTGTTGTACTTCAAACTGAATTTACCAAAATTTCTTCATGTCATTGATCTCCATATTAGTAATCTAAATGTCTAAAAAAAAAGATTGCAACAAGAAAGAAGTTCAAATACCAGAGAGATATTGACTTCAGAAAACTTATTAAACAGGGCACTCAGTCTCTCTAAAATCAGAAACATATCCTTTTGAATAAAACACCTCAAAATGTTTTCTTGCCCTATTTACTTCATATCCTGGATCCATTTGTTAAGATGAACCTTAAAGGAATTATTTGTAAGAAAATATTTTTCTCGTTTAAAATTTGGAGGAAATTATTTTTTGGCACAAAAAATTTTGTTCACACATATGACATTTTTTTTACCATACAACTTTATTGCAAAATTTGTAATTTTTCCCAAATGAAATAATTTTGAAATTTTTACCTTCATTTTTTTATCAATTTTTTTTTTTTTTTTTTTAAATAAATAAATTTCACATAATTTTTTTTAACATTTTTTCTTTGAATAAAGCAAATAGTCACAAACTAAGCTACCTGTGTTCTATGATTACACAATATAGTATCAATTTAAACCTTGCACTTTTACTCAGTCAGTTTTGTCCACGAATAACAATGCTTTATCCTATATTTTGTACAAGGTAAATGGCATGAAGCCAATTTTATCAACTCCTATTGTTCAATGGAATAAACTGACCTTTCAATTCTCAAGGATAAATATATATTTTCTAGGCTAATATGGTGTCTTCCTCCTATTCCCACTTTTTAAAAATCACTATTCCTTCTATTCCCACATGCAAATAACAATAGATGTTTTGATAAATAATTTGTTTTTATAACAATCAAGGTTAATTAAAAATTCACCTAAGATTTAACTGTATTTTTTAAAAGAAAACATATTTCTTACACTGTTTAAGTGTTATTTAAAAAAAAATTAATTTAATACACTGTTTATTTGTAATATGTTATTTCTTCTTCAAAGAATTACTTAAAAATAAAGAATAAGTCAGATAAATAGAAGAAAGATAAAAAAATCATTGAATTTGTAAACTTAAAAAATTGTCATCCAAACAAATGAATTGATGATAGATAATATTATAACAAACTTTCCAATCTTGCAAGATTTCCATATACAACGTACTACCGAAGGTGACCCATTCCTGCTAACAGATGACAACACAGTTGGGCGTATGTTAATCTTCAGTACTCAAAAGAATCTAAAACACTTAGCAGCTGCAGATATCATATATGGTGATGGTACATTCTACTCCTGTCCGAGCCAATTCTTCCAACTTTACACATTTCACGCAATGGTTGACGGCGCAATGTGTCCACTGGTACACAGTTTACTTCCAGCCAAGAGCGAACTAGTATACACAAGGTTCCTGACTTTACTCAAAGATATATGCCACCAACACCAACTACAATGCAGCTTCAGCCTACCACTATCTTCCTGGACTTTGAAGTCGCCATCCAAATGGCGGGATATTCTGCATTTCCTGGCATCAACGCAAAAGGCTGTTTTTTCCACTACACACACTGCATATGGAGAAAAGCACAAGAAACATGGATTCAGGTTCCATACAAGGAAGACAACAACATTCATCAACTAGTATGCCGTGCCGCTGTCCTTCCACTTGTGCCTACTGCTGAGGTCGAAGATGTGTGGTTTAATGCCCTAACCGACATAGATCAGATTGATACTAACATCAACTACACGCCCTTTACAGACTATGTAACAACATACTGGGTCGAACAGAACAGTCACCTTTGGGATCATTACACAACACAGGGACCGAGGACTACACATCGTCTAGAGGGATGGCACAGCAAGCTGAAGAAACATGTCCAGCACCCACATCCAAACATCTTTAAACTCATAAAACTACTGAAACATTAGGAAGCTTTCAACGCCCTGACCATGATCCAGTATGCAGCCGGTGGGAAGAGAGTGGCTCAAAAACGAAAGTATGTCGAAATCAACAACAAATAAGAAAGGCTTAAGGTTAGACACCGTAACTTGGAAGTCACAACAGTACAGTTTGGTGATGCAGCCTCCCACCTTCTTCACGTTGAAGAGATTAATAAACTTTAATAGACTTATATACAGTGAATTTCTAATGTGTGTGCTACAATGTGTGATTTGTTTTAGTGCTGTTAATTTGTATTGTTTGTTTCATATTGTAATGCTTGCTTGAATCTACTGTTGAATTTGTGTTATAAAAGAAATAAAATAATTAACTTATATTTGTTTCCATTTTTTTCATTTTTATCTTAATTAAAAACACAGAAATTATACACATACAAAAATTACCCATCCCAAAAAACACTTGTCAATTAAAAATTGATTAAACAATGTTTATACAGTATAATCCTTTGTTTGAACAAGTTTTCCCCCTATTCCCACTTGAAATTTTAACTTTTCTTACCAGATTTATAAAAAGTGGGAATAGGAGGAATGAACCGCTAATATACCATCTAAATGTCAACATAGAATTGAAACTTGACTGGTATAGGTGTTTTTCAAGTGACTATAAAGGTATGATACTCCTTTTGGACTCATTTTTAATTCAAATGTGTTATATATGTACTATAGTGATGAATCATAGTAATATTAAGGAGTTATCTAAATCAATCAAACAGGGACAATAAAGTGTTGGATTCAAGTTGTATAACAAAACATCACAATGTTGAGATAAAAAACTACAAACTACATCTTTTTAATGGATCTTTAATTTTTCATAATTGGAATGGAATTTTGTCTTCAAGGAAGCTAATATTACATAATATTTTGTAAATTGTTAAAAGTATACTACAATTTTCATTAGACATGAAAAAAGGCTTACACCAACCTGCATTAACTTTCAGTTTTTTGGCCTTCTCTATAAGTTCTGGTATCCATTCCTTTGCCTCTCCAACAAAAATTGCTGTAGACAAAGCCATACATCTTTGTCCTGCGGCTCCAAAGGCTGCACCTATCAACTAAATATCAATATTGTAAAAGTTTCACTTACAGTGTATATATGTGGAGGTTGAAAAGTGTTTTCCTGTGCTTGAGATGTATGTCCTTATATTTTTATAGTTATGGTCTATTTATTCTTGAGATAATTTCTGTTATTTGTGTGCTACTTCTTTTCTTTCTTTAGGCCAGTTTGCATATTGAAACTAATATGCAGTTCATCTAATAAATTTGCCCCATTCATATGTACTTTCCTGCCAAGGTATCTAACATATATTATGACAAGCCTCACATTAATCTAGTTTGTATAGAACTTGTAAATTTTACAATGAAATTTTCCGACTATTTATGTCAGCATTGGTTGTATATCTTTGCCAGTTTTATTCGTAATTTGTTGATATTACCCTGCAACTGTCTCCTTCAATGCACAGATGTAGAGTGATCCACATCTAGAAAGGAATTGTACTCAAACTGGTGCTAGGGGCTGTCTTAAACTTGCAGGGAGGAGAATTTTTGTTCTATTTTGAAGGCCTCCGTGACTTTGAGACCAGGAACAGCAATAAAAGCTTTGTTGTTTTTTTTATTGTGCGCATATTGATTTTGCGTCAAGAATTTATACACCATGTCAAATTTTGAATCCTATGTATTTTGTTTTCCTCATAACATTTTTAGAAATTCTTTCACTTTTGAAAGAATGATTTGGATAATTCTTAATTGCTATATGCAAAAATGATAAGAATTCTACACATCTAAGAAGTGTTTTTCAAATAGCCTTATTTGACACAACAAAAACTAACCTGATTCAGTGTGTTTTCTTTGTTAGCATCTGGCATAATTACTCCATGATTTTTGGCTCCCTGTAAAAAAATTGATCTTTACTACATCTTCATATAAAAATTTTAATGCAGCAGCTATATTAAACAAAATGACATCAGTCTTTTCAAGCATACATATTTTAATAACAATCTCTACGGTAGAGTGAAAGAAACTTTGTAAAATGTAAAGAAATTTCTTTCACATGAAATGAACAATGTTGTTTAAGTTACAATTTTGTAATGCATTATAAAACAATTCTATATTAATTCATAATTGCACTAGCACTTTGAATTTCAATAACAAAAAACAAAAAAACAATTTTCCTCGCAACTGATCAATTCCATCTTAATTTTATCTTTATAAATTATTTATACAATTGATATGTATTGAAATTACGTTATATTTATCTATTTTTTTATTTTTTCCCTTTTTGATATTTTTGCACCCTATTATTCTGTAGTCTAATTGTTTTGGGGTCCATTTTTATCTTCTTTTTTTTGGCGATTATTCTATGTATTGTGTTAACCTCATTCAGAGCCTCATCTCTATAGACATGAGGTTTCAAATACTTTTTTAACTTAACTAAACTTACCATATTTGACTGGACTCTCTTTCCATTCTTTGATCCTCTCTCATATATGTAACTTCCCTAAAATTAAAATGATTCTGGATTATTTTGTCATTTTCAATTTAAAAATATATATTGTGAATAATTATTAAAGCCTCTGATTTTATTTGACAAAGGTAATTTTTACTGTTATAGATCTTGTTCTGTCATTTTAACACAATTTAGATGGTTATAATTTCAAACCACAGATCAAAAGAAAAGTGAAAATGTTTGTATATCGAAACAGTTTAAAGGCAATTGACAATATGCCAGATCTGAGATGAAAATTGATATTCAATTTTTTCTAAAATTATCAAATCTAATTTTAAATTATATAATAGCATCCATTTACAATGTTCTGTAAGTTATTTTACAATTCTGTAAAAATGGTAGAATGCACAAGCAGATATCTTACAGCTTGGTCAGATCCGACAAATGAAATAGCTTTTATTGCTGGATGATCACAGATGAAATTCACAGCTGTAAAATACAAAACAAAATATTCTTAATAATGGTGGCCTTGGGCTGTTTTCTGCTCTTTGGTCGGGTTGTTGTCTCTTTGACACATTCCCCGTTTCCATTCTCAATTTTATTAAAGAGTCACATTCTTATCAAAGTAAACCATGGAAGGAACTGAAAACATGTCACATATTATGCAGAAACAGATAAAGCTTGGTTAAATATATTAAAAGCTTAGACTTTTAGTTGTTTAAAAGAATGTGACAGGAACCGACTGATGCATGGACAAACAAAAAATCAGAGGTAAACCAATATTCCCCCTCCTTTGGAACAGTAGAATAATAATGTCTTGTTCCACATGATACAACAGCATCATGTTTGCAAAGAAAAGATGATTGTTTTTTATCAAAAGCAAGTGTGGACACAGAAGTGTGCTTGACACAATAAAAATAATGTGATGGGAACGGACATTTTTACCTCAAAACAGTCTGATTTACAGCAAATATAAATGTTTAAAACCAAAAGCAGATTCTTTTCAAAAACATTCTATGAAAAATAGACACATATTAAGAATCAGTTTCAAATTATTGAAATATGGTGTGTCATTATGAATACTTTTGGTCATAAATGACATTAACACTCTCAGAAGGAAAACCAGTAATTAATAACTTGTCTTTCTACAATAAATGTCATTCATCGCCAAATTATTGGCTATATTACATGTATCATATTTTAATACACAATGGTTTCTGATCTTCCCTGAATGACATTAACAATTATAGAAGGAAAAACAACTATCAATAACTATCTACATTAAATGTCAATCATAGCCAACCATAGGCCTTATTACATGAATCTTCAGATTAACACAATGGGTTCTGATCTTACAATCGTGTCTTCCATGAATGACATTGAGAGTTCCATCAGGAAGACCAGCTTCCTTTGCCATTTCCACTAACATCATACAGGCTCCAGGATCTCTCTCTGATGGTTTCATTATCATGGTGTTCCCACAGACAAGTGACATAGGAAACATCTGAAATAATTATTAAAAAAAATGAAGTTTTATGTTATTTAGCATCCAGTTCTTACCCCTAAGGCCAAAAAAAAATATATGTCTGTTTAAGGTTACATACTTTAAAAAAATAGGGTAGGTAGGTCGGTATTTTCATTTTATTTTATTTTTTGTGACATGATTTTGAGTCATGCCGTTTCGACTTGTCGTGGTCTGAGTTGATCATGGGCCAAGTTTACCCGTATTTTTGATGATTGGATTATTTCCCTTGGAAAAAAATGGCGGCAAATTGTTTATTTCATCACACGAGTTGCGAATTTCCTTAAAACAGCTGTCATATTCACGATTGTGAACATTGGGATGTATCAGGCAATTGATTTATATCATTTGCAACACTAACTTCGCTTTTGACACGAGTTCAGTTTATTTTTCACTTTACGACGGAAATAAAATGACTTAGGGTCGGTGCTCAAAAGTAGGGTAGGTCGGGTAACCGTAAACAGACATATATTTTTTTTTTGCCTAAAAGACAATGCTGTAAAATGAGTTTGGAGTCAACATATTATCCTTTAGCTTTATGTTATTTCCTACTGAACAATGATCAAATTATCAAAATGTTTATTATTTTATAAAACATAAATTGTTTTCAACAAACAATAAAATCAAATGTGAAAATACTATCATAAAAAACCCTAAAAAATCAGTGTAAAAAAGAGGCACTGTCTTTGGCTGTTAAATAAAAAGAATTTTACTGTTGATTGCTTTACTTCATTGCAACTTGAGATCTCTCTTTGGTAAATGTAAAAGTAAGACTCCTAGTGTAAAATAAACTTAGTTTCTCCAATGGCTTGCAATAATGAGCCCTGAATGATATAAACTATTACTTATTGATGGTGACTGTATTTAGATATTATATTTTTTTTCTCTGAAATATATGAAGGCTTGCCATCTCATTGGCAATTAAAATAATAAACATCTTATTCAGATTTAAATCTGATCAGATATCCATCACTATAAATCTCATGATATTAATCTATAACCTCCCTTATATTTTGCTAAATTTTGTGACTCACACTGTTTATTATTAATACAACAGCTTACATCAAAAGTTCAAGGGAATACAAATCACCATGAATGATGTTGCAATTTATATTTCAATTGATAAAATTCTTACCCATAAAGGAATCATAGCAGGAAAGTTGAATGGAGTAATGCCAGCAGTGACACCTAGTGGTACCCTAAAACTCATTGTATCCATGTCTTTTGCAATACCAGGCATTGTTTCTCCCAGCTGTAGTGATGTAATGCTGCAGCAATGTTCAACAACCTCTGCAATTACAGCACATTCATTTTAGATTTTCAACATTTACCGATTATAATTTATAATTTTTTAAATAACCCTGCAGCTATGTTTAAATGAACAAATGTAGAGTGATCTGCATCCAGCATAGAATTCCACTCAAGCCAGTGACAGGGGCAATCTTGAACATGAATAGGGGTGAGCCTCTGCTCAGTGCTGGAGGCCCACTGTGTCTTTGAGATGAAGTTCAGCAAAATAGGTGTTTTTGAATTTCAAAAGTGTGTGAAGGGATTTTGTATCAAAAATAAAATAAACAATTCTTTCTTTTCCGTGTATATTTAAAAGTGCAAGTAATTAAAAAAATTAAGATGACAGGGGATACAACAATGTTCTTTGAACCCTTTTATTTTCTGATTTATTGTTATCTTATACATTACAAAAGCATGTAGGAATTTTCATACAAGAAAAAGTAGAGCAGGAAAGTTGAATGGAGGAATACCTGCAGTAAAAAAAGAAAATGAAATGAATATGAAATTTTTCATATTAATTACACAATAATTTTTCAAGGTCTAAATTGGGCTATCTTTTTGTAAATGTCAGAGCAGGTAAACAAACAAACAACAATATCCATTGCCTTGAAAATATACTACAGTGCAATGAAGGTCAAGTTACCATGGTTGGCGAAGTACGATCATCTCCTTATTCAGGTTATTATGATGAGACAAGACATGGAGGCTCCGGAGATACAAAAAAAGCATGTAAACTTGTCACTCAATATGAATAAAAGGAGATTACAAAATAAAACTAATCAAGTCAGTATTGGTAAACTTTCATATGACTGTTGACACTATAGACAAGATAGATAGTGCTTAAAGTAGCCCTTATGTTTTACTTACGTAAACCTCTGGTAACATCCCCTTCAGCATCAACCAAAGTCTTTCCTTGTTCTAGTGTTATGTTCTTGGCAATATCTTTCTGCAAATAGAATTTCAAATTACCGTAAAATATTTTCTTTTCTTTGTACATGAAGAGACATTAATCAATCCATCACTCAATTATATCCTCCAGTTTGTTTTCTCATTTTCAAACAAACATGAATGGATAAAATCTTTTTTTAAGCTAGAAACAAATTGATATTTCAATAGCATTATTCATCATGGGGTACTTATTTTCATTGACCTCTTGGGTATAGATGACCCAAGAGTTCAGTAAAATAAATTTTCCTAAAGACTTTTACGCAGAATTATCAAACGCATGAAATCAAGTATCCACAAAAATACAATTTTTTTTCTATATTAGAAAATTGATCCCCACAAATATAAATGATTCCACAGTATCTGGCCTCATGAATGGCATGGTAGACCTGTTAAACTGGCCAATATTTTTTGTTATTGTTTTAATGTATTATTCATTATCTACTTTGCATCAAAAAATAATTTATATATTTCAAAATGTAAGGTAGTTGAACCATATAAAAAAAAACAATTAAATCAATAAAATGAGGATAATTTCTATTTTCAGCTGCTTTTATGAGAAGTTTACTTACCAGATTTGCTTTAATAAGATTCTGTAAATTAAACATAACTTGTTGCCGGGTGAGCACTGTAGTTTTTGACCAGGTTTCATAGGCTTTCTTGCATGATTCTGCAGCTGTTTCCATTTCATCTCTTGTAGCTTCTGGTACCCTTGTCACAACTTCCATGGTTGCCTATAGGAAAAAATTAGCAGGTTAACATACATGTGAAAGACCGATTAAAAATCAGAATATTTTCAAATTTTGGTCAGGATGATGGAACTTATATAATGAAATTTGAATAGTTTACACAATTATTCTATGGTAAAACTGCATAATTTTCTACACATTTTATCAAGATATTGATCATTTCCATCAAAAGGACCTTGTAAGTATCAGATTTATACCATCCAGACTGGAAACCCATAGATACTGTATGAAAAACCAGAATTGAAATAATAGAAATCTTAAATCTCCTTCCTGATACAAAATTTACTGAATTATGCATACTTGATACATTGTAGTTTTTCACCAAACTTTTTATATTTTGATATTGTCAACATAAAAATACAGTCAGGGGTAATACTTATACAAGTCATTTTTATTTACTTGAAAATGTAAGTAATATTTACTTGTATAAGTAATTTTGTAAGATTTTTATTTTATTTTCAAGGTTTTAATTACCTCCCCTTAGTCTTCTCCAAAAATTTACTTATACAAGTAATTTTTTTTACAACCCCTTAAATTCTCAAGTTTTGGGAGGTCAAAACATGCCTAAACAGATTTTTTTGGGTTTGCTAATTAATTTTTAATTAAAGTTCAACCTTTATCTCAAGAACTAAACAAAGAAATACATTGCGCAAAGATGTTAAGTAACTGTGCAAGGCTTTCAAAAATTGCTCACTGGAGGCTTGTAAATGAGCAGTATTTTGAAGATAACAGACAAAGGAGATTTTCATTGTCCATGAAATTATACTTTTATGAATAGTAAAGACAACTATTAATGACACACAATTAAACACTCTATAAGAGCAATGTAGTGAAGAGAAATTCAAAAAAGTAGAAGAAAATAAGACTTTTTTACTTATATAAGTAAAAAAATATCTGAATGTCTAAGGGATATAACTCTACCTCCAAAATAATTTACATATACCAGTAAATAAAAAACACTTATACAAGTATTACCCCTGACTGTAATAGTCACATGGCTAAGGTGAACTAATATATTATATATTCTTTAGTCTTACAAAAGACGAGAGCTAATGTCAGCAGTCATCATACTTGCTTGTACATATTCAGTAAATAATCACTCTTGATGGTGATATTTTTGTGTGCAGGCAGTTGGTGATTCACTCTAAACTACTGCTCTGTATTTTCAATACAGGTTCATATAATGACAGGGTCTTAAATTGGAGTGTTATTATTCTAAATCATTAGCAATCATTATGTTTTACTGTGATACATGCTACATCAGCACAGTTCATTTTCTGAAGAATCACCTTGTATGTATTGTTCAATTCATGTAAACTTATTGTCTGTCCCAAGTTAGGAGCCTATAATTTAGTGGTTGTTGTTTTCTGGTTTATATATCATATTCGTTTTTTCAATTATTGTTTTGTACATAAATCAGACTGTTAGTTTTCTCATTTGAATTGTCAATTTGGGCTTTTTATAGCTTACTATGTGGTATGGGTTTTGCTCATTGTTGAAACCCATACGGTGACCTATAGTTGTTAACTTCTACGTCATTTGGTCTCTGGTGGAGAATTGTCTCATTGGCAATCATGCCACATCTTCTTATTTTTATAATATCTTTTGCTTTATCTCAAAAAATCTCTAATTTCATGTTTTTCAATGATTCCCTATTAACATAATTAAGCACATTTGCTAGTCTGAATTACTACAGTTTCAGGTCATATCAGATAAAATACAATTATCATGTTTGAGTCATATATTTATTCATATCCACTCATTGATAAATAATATAAGTCATTAACTTTTTATCATAGATTGTATATTTGTCCTTAAAATCTGATCTTTTTTAAAATCTAGAGCTTTGCATATTACGAGAATTTTCTAATTGATTAATGTAAATGCATTATTTGACTTACAATGTCAGATAGTAATGATTCAGTCTGAGTTTACGAGTCCATCTAAAAACAAGTGCCCTTTGTACACTGGTACATTGTACACACTATGGAACATGGCTGACAATTATTGTTGACGCTTATCCTCCATCAATTTACATAAGAACAATCTTTTGATTGAGTTAAGCCATTTCAATTGATATTTTATAGTGTGTCTTTCTATGTTGTGATGTTACACTATTGTTTCAGATAGGGTGAAGGTTGGCGCCTATTAATACGTTTAAACCCGCTGCATTTGTTTGCACCTGTCCTAAGTCAGGAACCTGATGTTCAGTGGTTGTCGTTTGTTGATGTGGTTCATAAGTGTTTCTCGTTTTTTATATAGATTAGACTGTTGGTTTTCCAGTTTGAATGGTTTTACACTAGTCATTTTTGGGGCCCTTTATAGCTTGCTGTTCAGTGTGAGCCAAGGCTCCGTGTTGAAGGCTGTACTTTGACCTATAATGGTTCACTTTTATAAATGATGGAGAGTTGTCTCATTGGCACTCATACCACATCTTCTTATATCTATGTAATACTTACAGGATTGTGTACATCAATCCATTTGTCTGTTTTGGATTCAACAAACTTTCCATCGATGAACAACTTTGTTGTAGCCTGTATTAAAATAAAATTTCATTAGTGTTAGTTTATCTGGCAAAAAAATAATTGGTTATCAATAATCAGAGGTGTATAATGAATTATATTTTTAATTATTGTATTTGTTTGTTCTTTGCTATGAAAGAGGAAGGGATTCAAATCAAATCTCCACCTTTTTTGTCTAATTGTTTCTTGATCATGATAGTAGTCAATCACACTGGTTAAGTGGTGTTGTATTAGTACTCTTAATTAATAAAAAAAAAGGCCAAACTAGTCAGCTAATTGACAAATCTTATGACATTTATAATTTATACTTGAATAAACTGCTCTAAAAATATAACCCAATTTTGTTTAAGGTTTATTTGTGCATATTTACATAGAAGTATTTGGAACTATATTTCAGTCGTATAGATTAGTGGCTATAAACCTGTCTACATCCTGGTGGATGAGGCTGATGCCTTAGGTAAGAATTGTAACAATAGTTCCAATCTTTCCAAAAAATATAAGTTGAAACATGGTTTGTTCTTGTACAATATATTTTTCTTTCAAACATGGTTTATACATACTTACTGGTGATACTGAACCATACAACCGAGGCAGACTGTTCCAACCAACCTGAGGATAAATTATCATTGTTACTTATGTCTTCTACATTACATCTACCAAACAAACTGATATACATTCTACCTTTTGCAGTTGTTTTGTCTATGTCCAAATCAGAAATTACTGTAGTCTGGTAGCTTTCTTTGATTTTAATTCCTGTTTTATACATGTTATATGATCTCCTATTCCGGCCAAATCTATGACATTTTGTGTAAGCAAGGTTGGCAAAAAAGCGATCAATACTAGTATTGATCATGACAGCAGTAAATACCGGTCTATACCAGGAAATACTTGCCAATTGAAATTTATAAAATCATTACCATTGTTTATTGGACTAAATAGCAATAAGGTGTATTGATTGATTGTTGGTTGCTTAATGTCCAGTGGCAAATATTTCATGCATGTTCAGGCATACCTTTCAACCTCTGAAACCTTCAAAGAGGGAGATCTCCCTCTCAGCTATGACAGCTGATGGGGAGATTTTGCACGAACAACATTTTCAAGCTAACTATATGAACTGTACACTTATTTATCTATAAAACACAAATAAGAGTTAATAAATATACTTTATTTCTTCAATTAATTTTTGTAATCTATACAAGGTGTATTTTCCTTATTCAATACCTCTGAGTCTCATAATATTCAATATTTTAATTTTGTTGCGAGTCTAACAATTAGCATGCTTTTGAATGTCATACAAGCCACCAGAAGCAACCGAAAAGTTGATTGAACATGATGTGCACAATAAAGATTCATTGTGCCGAGTGAACTCGGTCGTAAAAATTGAAATTTTTCATCCAATCTACTTGACATTTGCAGTTATATTTCTTCTTCTTTACACTGCCGCTTGGTCCAGACAAAGACCTCTATCTTGTTGGAGTTGGCATAGCAGAAATGATTTTCGATTACTAATAAATCGAACATAAAAACTACTGACCAAAGTTTTCAAATGATCGCTGATTGTTTGTTTCTTTTTATTGACAGTAAAGAAAAATCCTGAGAAATATGAAGGTGGGTCATTCTGGGTTAAAATATTTGAAAGCGGGAGCAGGGGCGGACTGGCAAGCGGGAGATTTCCGGAATTTCGTTGTTTGAGCGGGAGGGTTGGAAGGTATGGTCAGGACAAACCCTGTTGATTTTATTGTATATATATTCCCCAAAATAATAAAAATTGTGATAAAAGCCTTCAAAACTAGAGGTGAAGCACAGGCTCTAATTGTGTTTTTTTTAAAATTTTTTTAGCATTTATAAACCCAGAGACATATATTATAGGTCTCTGATAAACCATAAATTAATATCACAAGGACCATATAAAGAGCCATAGTTACACAACTATTTTAAGAAAATTATTCTTAAAACTTTTGCTGCAAATATAAACTTTCTATTAGAAAGGATCTTAGTTGTATCACTACGTCATGGAAAAGAAAGATATTTTATTCCAAATAAATGGGCTCACAACATGAGATTATAAGCTTTTTACATAACATAAGTGGGACGTCCTTTAAAGTTTAAGAATTATGTGTAGTTGCAACACATTTATTGATGTAGTATTTTGTACGGTCATATTAGTTTTATTTTCTTACATGCTTGCCAAGTCGTATCGCACGTAAAACTGACGATGACATCCTTCTACGTAGATCAGCTGCAGGAAAATAAGTAAGTCAGCTCAGCTGCACCAGAAAAAATAAACTAATTTGATTGGATGTCAAGGACACTGCCTCTAAAAAGTCCGATTTCGGAACAGCAACGAAAATTTCCGTTAATGCAACAGGTGCGTGCTCAGGTTTGATACGTTCAACGCAGAGTTTCGTTCAGAGTGTGCGCATATTTAAATTTTTCATTATTTTGTAAATAATAAAGTTTGCTTAACTTTACAATGATTTATACTTGATACATGCACCAGTTAACTTATCAACCACCAGCCGGCTTCGTGGTAATTAAACTGTATTACTAGTAGGGATTTACAATAACTGTCAGACTCTGAGTCCGAGTACGAATACAACTACAAATCATACAGATAAGCTATAGGGGTGATCCAAGGGGATTTGTAATCTCAAAATAATGTGTACGCTAATTAATTTAACCGTATTCAATCTTTGTGTGGTGATAGGACAAAATGAAACCATTTATCAAATTAACTGACTTTTTTTACTGAAGGGTAATAAGCTCGCAGACAGACGCTAACAGATTATGTTCAGAATTTAAAAAATTTCACAACAAACATTTATTGCTCTAGTAATATGATCATTTTTACCGATTACATTAAAATAATAACCCCTTCTCAAGTTTAAAAAAATTGGTCCTTTCATAACCATGATAACTGACGAATTATTTAAAAGGAAATTGGATAATACAATTGTTCAGTTTATTCAGTATTACTTTTTTGTTTTGAAGCATTCTAATTAAAATCAAATCCTTGAAAAGCTCCCGTTCTGGTATGTCGCGCATCCTTGATGCGCGTGACATATCAGAACGGGAGCAATTAAAAGATTTAATTCAAATTAGATTGGTTTTGGGGCTATTTGTTTCCACTGTGTATAGTCTGAGACTACTATACAGTCTCAGGTATAGTCTTGGAGAATAGTACGGAGCCCTTTAAGTGTTATGTAAATATAAATAGATTTCGACAGAAGATAACCATAAAAAAAGCCGGAACACAAAAAAGAATAAGGCTGTGTTTGGATATACGCCTAAGGCAGCCTATGGTTACCCATAGGTATCTTTGGGTACCCATGGTTTGATATTTTGATATATAGAATATCAAACCAAAGGTACCTATGGATAACCATAGGCCACCTCTGGCGTATATCCAAACACAGCCTTTAAAGGATTTAATTTAAATAAGATTGATTTTGGGGCTATTTGTTTCCACTGTGTATATAGTCTGAGACTACTATACAGTCTCAGGTATAGTCTTGGAGAATAGTACGGAGCCCTTTAAGTGTTATGTAAAAATAAATATTTTCGTTTGCCACGGATTTAATCGGGTGCGCACCAGTTTGATAAATCATGCGCACCAGTTTGATTAATCGTGCGCACGACTCTCAAAAATGATGTGCACGACTCTCAGGCTGTGTTTGGATATACGCCAGAGGTGGCTTATGGTTATCCATAGGTAGCTTTGGTTTGATATTCTATATATCAAAATATCAAACCATGATACCTATGGGTAACCATAGGCTGCCTTAGGCGTATATCCAAACACAGCCTCAAACTCGTGCGTACGACTTTCAAACTCGTGAGCAAGTTCGTATAGAGTCAATCAAACTTTGTTTTAAAGTTATGCGAACGAGTTTGAAAGTCGTTCGCACCAGTTTTAAAATGTCGTGCGCACAAGTTTAAAAGTCGTACGCACAAGATTAAAACTCGTTGCGCACTAGTTTTAAAGTAGTGCGTACGAGTGTTAAAGTCAAGCGCACGAGTTTCAAAGTCGTGCGCACGATTGCGCAAACTGGTGCGCACCAGATTAAATCTGCGTCAAACAGAAATATTTATATTTACATGGCACTTAAGGGGATCCGGTGTAATGCATACAATCAACTTTGGATCCTGTTTTGTAATAAATGTTTCATATCTTTCATGATTTCTGCGAACCACTTACTTTAAAGATTCTTTGTTACTATTCTTTTGTCCTTTTTTGGGGGGGGGGGGGGGGGGGGATTTAGACAGAAGATAACAATAAAAAAAAGCCGGAACACAAAAAAGAATAAGTGTAGCAGGCTCAATAGACTCATTGCAGAATACCGAGTCTCCGTTGAGCATGTTATTTGCGAATTGAAATGTTATAAAGTCATATTGTCTTTAGCAGTCAATTTTTAATGTCTCTGGTAGTTGGCAATGTATATACTAGTGGCTGTATTTTGATATACGCCTAAGGCGGTCTTTGGTTACCAAAAGGTACCTTTGGGTACCCATGATTTGATATTTTGATATATAAAATATGAAACCCTTGGTACCTATGGATAACCATAGGCCGCCTCAGGCGTATATCCAAACACAGCCATTGGCTCATGGTCAATAGTATACTATCGATTTTATCCATCTTTTGATAGCTCTGTTGGTAATTGTTTTAATTAATGTCAATACTTTATTTTTCAAGCTCAAATACCTGATGTGGTCAGTTTGGTGTCATGCTTTTAAACTACCTGGGCTAAAAAATCTTTTCTCTCTGCTGGCCTATTTTTTCCTTTGGTAGTTGATATAAGATATTGCTTACATCAAAATTGCATCTAATGAGTTTGATCTTTAACGTAGGGTAAACATATTGAGTGTTCCTTCCTTGGAAAAGTTTGGCCTGAGATAAATTACTATAACAGTGTTTTATTAGGTTTCGTTCATAAATGATGACATGCTAGTTCTTCGTAAAAGGTAGTGATTTAAATGCTATGGCATTTTCAACTTAAAATACAATTTCTTTTAACGTTAATAAAAGTACTGGAAATATTACAAATGCAATCAATATTCCCCATAAAGATTATGTGAACATAGATATATGAAGATGTGGTATGAGTGCCAATGAGACAACTCTCCATCCAACTCACCGAACAGCAAGCTATAAAGGGCCCCAAAAATTACTAGTGTAAAACCATTCAAACGGGAAAACCAACGGTCTAATCTATATGAAAAACGAGAAACGAGAAACACTTATGAACCACATCAACAAAAGACAACTACTGAACATCAGATTCCTGACTTAGGACAGGTGCAAACAATTGCAGCGGGTTTAAACGTTTTAACGGTACCAAACCTTCACCCTTATCTGAAACAATAGTGTAACATCACAACATAGAAAAACACACTATAAAATATCAATTGAAATGGCTTAACTCAATCAAAAGACATATTAACACCAGTGAACATACACTAAACAAATAAATTTGATCTATGGTACAATGCAAATACAAAATAAATAAACTAAGGGAAGAATAATTAAAGTAACATGTTATACCGCTGTGAAATGTTAAACAATTTAAGAAGAACAATATACTTGAAAAAAAATATCAGCCATATGCAATTACTTTAAAATCAGATAAATAAAAATAATTTTGTTGTTAGGTATACGTGTACAGTTCTACTTGTATCTTAATTTCAATCTACATAAACCATGCAAGAAAAAGAACATTGCTTAATTAGGTACAAGCACATAAGAATGTGATGGAGTTGAACATTATTAAATCATACATTATCACATTTACTGTTCAAGGGCCAAATTTAATGGTAAAAAGTCCAGAGATAACATCAACACTTTTTCACAGCTTAGGACATTTTTCAGAATGCAGAACATGTTAAAAATACAAATTTAAAGCAAGTATCTACAAAAATTAATTCCAATCTATGAATATTTGTAAATGTTTTGTACCTACGAAAATAAACGAATCAACAGTAATCTGTAATGTTTTTAACAATATCTGAATATATTGGCCTACTAGTAATATATGCAACACATATAACTAATGGCATACAGTTTGACATGCACACACTTTCAATAATAAGCATCTGTCCTGCACCAATGGTAAAAACATCTGATAAGAAAGAAAAGAATGGATGACTTATTTTGATAACTGCAAATGCACAGTACATAAAAGTTCAACTTACTTTATAGAATGGCTTATAAGAAAAGAAAGTTTTTCTTTAAAATATTAAATGATTCAAAAATAAAATTTCTAAAAAAACATGTACTAAATAACAACAAAATTTTGTAAATGAAATGATACAAACTATTCTGATTACTTTTGATACATTTTTTTTATTTTTGACAAATTTTCTAGCATTTTTTTTCAAGTCTCTGATATCTAAGGAATCTTCGTAATCCGATTCAGAATCTGAATCCTCATTCTTCTGTGTGTTGTCATCTATAAAAGAATCATTGTAATCATAGGTATTAGGTAAGCCATCATCTTCCTCATCTTCATCAGCGGTTTTAGTTGAAATAGAAAAAATCCAAATTTTTATCAAATGACGTTAATGTAATAAATATCAGTCAACCTTGTTTAAATAAATCTCGTCAGTGGTGGTCTTCAATTTAATCTTAATGGGTTTTTATTGTCATGTAAAGAGTCTTTAGATTACATCAGGTCTTTGATTATAGTCTCTTATGAATTTATTCACAGCTATTTTAGACTCTTGGCGATTTAGAACTTGTCATATTGTGTAGACATCAAGACCATTTTTTCAGCTCTAGATGTCCTTTTGTATTGTTGGGTTGCTGTTTTATTGACATTGTTACCTCATATTTCCATGTATTCATATATACCACTAACAGGTCAATGTCTATCCACCGCAAAAACAATATCATATACAAACAAGAGTCCACACGCTGAAATGTCTCGCCTGTTTTACTGACCATTGATTTTATGTCGAAAGTCTTAAAGATAAAGGTTTTACTAAAAGCATTACAGAAACTTAACATTTTTAAAAATCTATGACAATGAGGTGAAGGTCAGATGAATTGTGTCCGACAGACATATACACATTACAATTTTTTTACACACCAAATATAGTTGACCTATTGTGTATGCTAATTGAAAAACAGACCAAAACACAAAATCTTAACATTGACCAATGAACCATGCAAATGAGGTCAAGGTTGGAAAAAACCTGCCAGACTGATATGTACCCTTTACAATCATTCCATACACCAAATATAGTTGACCTACTGCTTATAGTATTTGAGAAACGGACCTAATCACGTAACTTTAACCTTGATCACTGATCCATTAAATGAGGTCGAGGTCAGGTGAACTCTATCTAACGGATAACGGATATGTAAACGTTGCAAGGAACCCATATACCAAATATAATTATCCTATTACTCATAATAAGTGAGAATTCACATGTCAAAAAACTCATTTTTTTTCAAGCAGTCGCTGAAGCATGAAAATGAGGTCAAGGACAATGGACATATGATTGACCGAAACTTTGTAACATAAGGTATTTGCATACAAGATATGAAGCATCAAGGGTTTTTTATATAGATTAGACCGTTGGTTTTCATGTTTGAATGGTTTTACACTTGTCATTTTTGGGGCCCTTTATAGCTTGCTGTTCGGTGTGAGCCAAGGCTCCGTGTTGAATGCCGTACTTTGACCTATAATAGTTTACGAGTAACGAGAAAGACTTATGAACCACATCAACAAACGACAACCACTGAACATCAGATTCCTGACTTAGGACAGGTGCAAACAAATGCAGCGGGTTTAAACGTTTTAATAGGCGCCAACCTTCATCCTACCTGAAATAATAGTGTAACATCACATCATAGAAAGACACACTATAAAATATCAATTGAAATGGCTTAACTCAATCAAAAGACATATTAACAAAAACAAGTGAGCATACACTGAACGAATAAATTTGATCTATGACACAATGTAAATACAACATTAATAAAACAATTAGATGTTCACTAAACATTATTCGGTCAGAGTGCAATAAAATACTGTAATTATACATTGAATTTTGTCTTTAACAGTAACATATTGTGATTATATATTGTGTAATAACAAATTTGATATTTGCATTCTATGAAATTCTATTAATATTGCTTCTTAGGAGAAGACTGTCTAAGTTAGACCTACTTGTGTCTAATCCTTTTTGTAATATTTTGTAAATGAAATATGTTAAAAACTGAACAGTAACATAGTTGCTTTATGCCTTCAAAGTTCTTGCATTTAGACTTGAGGCCTTACAGAGTCTGTGTCCCTTATCGGGATCTATATGCATCTTCAACAATGGCCAATCTCCAACATTATAGACCAGAATATGATTTATGACCAAAAACCTTTTTTTTTTGTTAATTTAGTATTGAGGATCATTTTAGTTGTTTACAGATTCTCTCAATCTACTATATTTTTTGCCTAAAATACAAAAAAAAAAGGATCACAAGAGTACACAGATTGAAATGTCTTACAACACTCTATCCTGCTTTACTTATGATTGATTTTATATGGAAAATGTTAAAGTAAATGCTAAACACAAGTATCATATAAAGTTAAAATTATCATTTGGTCATTTTGGCATTCATGAAGATCTTTAATGGCGGATATTTTTTATATTTAGCTTTAGTTTTTGAGATAATTGGCACTGAGAAAAGTTTTTAAAGTGGTTGTCGTTTGTTGATGTGGTTCATAAGTGTTTCTCGTTTTTTGTTTTTTTATTTAGATTGGACCGTTGGTTTTCCTGTTTGAATTGTTCCTGAACAATTTCCTGTAACGGCTTTGTTTTTGGTTTAAATTTTACAATAACAGTAAGAATTCTTAATATAAAACAACCCTCAACCTTTAAGGTCATTGAAGATAAATGACAACAAGTGATCTCAATTAAATCACTTATAAGTAAGTAAGTAGATTATTTATTATAGTGACTTGTGTAATTACAATAATTTAACATAATATATACATATACACCCGACCCAATGGTTCTATAAGTCACCTAAATATTAAAGTTCATACTCAATTTGTGTCACGGATTTGATAAAAAGTCTCAATTATCGATTTGTCTAACCAGAAAATATAATGATTAAATTAGGATATATATTTATCAATAAAGTTTTAAATAATAAATTAGACTTGTCCAAATACAACTTGACGTCGTTTCTTTATGGCGTCCACCAGATATCTAACAGTTTTTCGTTGAAAATTGGTTAACATATGGTAAAGTTTTTCGTCATTGCTCATTTGCAAGTAGTTGACATCTGATATAATATCTTCGAAATGTTTACTACTAAGTTCAGTATAAAACGAACAGTCAAGAAGAAAATGTTATTCGCCTTCAATGCTGTTTTTCGCTACAAAATCTACAAATGCGTTCCTCTCGTAGTTCACCAATGTACCTTCCCGTCTATATTCTTAGTGGTAGAACCCCATACCGTAATTGTACTAGGCACGATCGCTGAGATTTGCTGAGATTCAGTAAATTAACGTATGATTCTTGTTCAACCATTGTTTTCAGTTTAACGTACGTTCTGAGCTTAGAAACGTTAATAATGTCCCTTTTCCACATAGAAAGGTAGTAGTTATGTAAACATGAATCAAATAACGACATATTGATGATTTCCTTACGTTCGAAATGATTGATTAAATCTGGTTTATTAAGAACGCCAAAGCACCAGTTGTTTCGGCATCACTCATAATCATAGTCGAAAGCAAGTTTAGTTATCCGATCATCGTCGAACGATATAAGTCTATTTCAAAGACGGACCATATTAATGTAGTGACAAGGTAGCCATCCGATATCGCCATAAATCGCCAACAAAGGTGCAAAGCGATGTACTCCTAAAAAATAGCGTATCGCCCTATTTTGAATATTCTCCAAAGTTTGGAACTTACGGCATCCCCAAACTCCTGATCCATAGTCTTATATATAGGCACTACACAGGCATAGCACAGTTTTTCGTACGATTTTATTCCAAACTTTATAAACTGATGAATATTTGATATTATTTTACCCAATGCTCGTCCGGCACCCATTGATAAAGCTTCAGTGTGCGTTGGAAAGGTTCCGTTGTAAGTATACACGACTCCTTAATATTTGTATTCATTTACAGTTTCAAGTTTATTTTGACCCATGCTGAATTTGAAGTCTGTAGATGTAGCTCTAGATTTTCTAAAATAGACGCATTTCGATTTATTTGTGTTTATCGAAACCCTCCATCGTTTGCACCAGTCCTGAAGTTTGTCTAACATTTGTTGTAAATCCTTCTCATTTTTTGCCAAAAGTGCAATATCGTCAGCATAAAGCAATATGGAAAGATTGCTATCTTTTAATCCAATTCCAAGATTCATATCGTTTAACTCCAGGTCATTAACAAATATCGAAAACAATGTCGGGGATACATGTCCCCTTGTTTTACACCCGTTTCGCAACAGAACCAGTAGGTAAGTTTTCCGTTTAATCTCCCACATGATTCAGAACTCTTGTAAAAGTTTTTTATAGAGTTGCACACTTTTCCATTGATGTTATATCGCAGTAGTTTGTACAACACCATCTCTCTGTCGATGAAATCAAAACATTTTTTCAAGTCGATAAAAGCAACAAATAAGTTCTCATTATTTCGGACTGCACTATTAAGAGTGAAAATATGGTCCTCACATGAACGATTACGTTTTGTTCGTCGGCTAACAAGTCATTATCTTCTAAATAATTCGTGACCCTTCTATTGATGAGAGCGCTGTAAAGTTTACTTATACAAGACAACAAGCTTATCCCTCTGTAATTCATCGGGTCTCTAGAATCAATGTTACAATCTTTCAGAATTAGACAAATAATAGATTTTCTCCATATAGACGAAATAATGCTTGTGTCGAATATAAACTGAAACAGATGATGTAGCGTTTTTATAATCAAAAGGAACTTTAAGACAATGTTAGGAATTTGGTCATATCCACATGCGGAACGGTTTCGTGAATGCATATATATCCTTATTGTACAACCGTAAATGTTAAAGATCAGTTAAATACATTGATATCAGAAAAGATGTATTTAATGTTTACACATTTATGTAGGTTTTAGATTTCAACCACTAATCTATACCCAAAACACACTAACCCTATTGCCTAGACACAAACCAGGAAATGAAATACCTGTGTTGCACATTACAATAATGGCATTCTCACAATCATTCAGAAAAGGACAAGTACCTGTCAATTGTAACGTATGTGAAACAGCAAGACCTATCAAGTGGAAATGCATAGACTGCAGTATTCTCATGTGTAACAACTGTAGAGAACAAGTACATTCTAAATTCAAAAATGCACAAGAGCATAAAACAATAGACATCAAGGATGTAGGACTGCACACAGAGGAAATTGATTTCACCAATATTAAGTGTATACAACATTCATCACAATCTTGCTGCCTTTTTTGCAAGACATGCGACTTTCTTGTGTGTCCAACCTGTTTTGCCAAAGATCATAAGAGACATGACTTAACTGAGATAAGTGAAGTGTACAATATGAAAATACAGAGACTGAAAGAAGGACAAGGTAGAATTCAAAGCAGTAATTCTAAATCAGCTATCCAAATAGGCCAGCTTCAGAATCTTGTAAATGAGGAAAATCGGAAGCATTTAAAAGTCAGAACAGATATAATTGATCATAAAAAATTTATTAAAGAACAAGTAGAGAAATATTTCAACGAACTTAGTAACAAACTGGATCAGAGTCATGAAAATGTTCTTTCATCACTGACGTCTGATCTTAATGCTGTCTCCTTGTTCAATACACAGACAAAGGATAAAACAACTGAAGTCCAAGATTTCATTCAAATCACTGATGCTTCCAAATTCTTCAGAGAGGTCAACGAGATGGAGCAATCCCTTGACATACCAATACAACAAATTCAATCAAGTTACATTTCATCACCAAAATTTGTTACAGGGAATATCACTAAGTCTAATATTGGATCTTTCGAAGATGATAAAATTGTATACATGGAACCAAATATATCTCTAGTTATCAAGGAGGAATACCAGTCTGAACTCCCAGCAATAGTCTTTATCAGACCATGTGTTGATAATTCATACTGGATATGTGATACTAAGGAAAGTATGTTACAAAATGTAAAACCTGACGGGGCCAAACTAAGCAAAATATCACAATATGAGATAAAGGTCTATGGTATAGCAGTACTTCCATCTAATGATGTCCTCTTAGCGACAGAAAGGGGAACAAGGCTACAAAAACTCACTATAACCACTGGTAAACTAATAGACACTGTATATGATGTGGCACCTTTAGTTCCTGTTACCATCCACATAACAAGTGGTAATAAAGTAGTTGTAGGAGGTAGCAGTAAGAACCTAGGAAGAAGAGCTGTGTTTGTAATGAATGAGCAGGGAGGACATGAGACTGTGTATGAACATGACCAACATCATCAACCAATATTTACTTACCCAAGGAGTATAAGCAGTACCAGAAATGGAAACATATTTGTTTTAGATTATCATCTAGGTCGCAATAGTGGAAGAGTAGTAGTCTTAGAACAAGGAGGTGATATAATAAATGAATATACTGGCCATTCAGACATCAATACGGATCAACCATTCAATCCTAGGGACATAGTGGCAACTCCTGAGGACAATGTGGTTGTAAAAGGTCAAAATGATTCATTTTTATACATTCTGAACAACCAAGGTTACCTAATGACATACTACAACATTAAAAACATAGGAATAATCCATCCATTCTCTCTTGCTTTGAATACTTCAGGACAACTCTGCATTGGCTGTAGTAGGGCTGCAGGAAGTAATACTAAGGAAGCCAAGTTGTATGAAGTTAACATTTCTGGATTTTAATACTTTTTTTCAAATGATTATTCCTTGTGAACATTCAGTACCAGAACATGTCATAATTGATGAACCTTTTAACTATACAAACATTCATTATAAGGACAAATGGGATTTTTATTTTAAACAACAAACAGTAAAATATCAAGTTGTTATTCTAGTTTTGCCTTAAGATCAACTTCTTTTTTAGCCATGGCGTCGTCAGTTTATTTTCGACTTATGAATTTGAATGTCCCTCTGGTATCTTTCGCCTCTCTTTTACAGTAATTGGGCTATGTCACAGATTTTGATAAAATTTTTGCATACAACTTTGGCTCGTTGAACTATAACTGAAAATCGAAAAAATAATGCATTTATCTCTTTAATTTTCTGAAATATTACCAACTGAATTCCCTCAAAATAATACGTTTGTATAGAAAGCGTTTGAAATCGGCGAAAATCGTTTTTTAATTTGTCTTAAAATCATCAAATCTCCAATTTCTAGTACATGGATTTTTCTTAAAAAATTATGTGTGGTAGATACATAAATTTCCGTGTTATTGATGTAAAATAATAATAGGATCACCGACTTTGTTTTTACGCTATACACACTCAAAGTGGTGTTCTAGGTGAAAAAAATACCACAAAACGTCGAAATAAGCGTATCGTCATTGCGTTATAAGCCGTAAAACATCGACTTTTTACGTTTTTCTCTACCAACTACATTACAGATTGGTCAATACACCGAATACAAAGTCGGTGATCCTATCATTATTTTATATCATTTAAACGGAAATTTACATATCAACAACATATAATTTTTTTAAGAAATAACAAATCCATATAAAGTTACAGTTCCCAAGTTGCACTCATTTTGCAAAATAAGCAGCAGAAACCTTACAAGCTTTCTTAGAGATTTGTATTTTTATATAATTTGCCATTATGTACGTCTTTCGACATACCTAAATATGCACGAAAAGGCATATCAAGAAACTAATTAAGTATCCAGTGTAAAAAAAATCTACAGAAACGTCACATGCGATGTTCACAAAAAGTCTACTTTTAAAAATGAGCAATTAAATTTTTTGAGACATCCATTTTTTTACAAAATGAATAGTAAGCATGGACTATTGTCAAATTGTTCTGAAAATGTGGAGAAATGATACAAAACATCAGTTATTCGATTTTAACAGATGTGAATTTTAGTATGGATGTAATTTAGGTACTCCCCATTACAGAATCTTGGTTATTTGGAGGTCGATTCAAACCCATTTTTCTATGATTCAGTATGGATTCAAAATTGATTTTGCGGAACTATATAGTAAATAAGGATACATCTACAAAATAAACACAGAATGGGACCTTTTGTCTGGATCTTAAATAAACACAGGTGAAAAAACTGTCAAAATTGGTGCAATTTGGGTAACCTGTTATATATATGTTATTGAGGGACAAAAACTTCAACCTAACCTGACAGCTCGAGCTAGAAAATGAGGTCAACGTCAGGTGACAATGACTGGATGACAATGTCTCATCGTGAACTACTCATTACTAGATTTTGTCGTTCTAGGTGAAAGTGGGAAAAGATATAAAGGTCATTCGCAAATTATGTATCCCACCACAGTTGCCAGAAAAGTAATAACTTTGTCTTACCTATTGGCTCTTTTATCACAGCCAAAAAGGATAAGGTCAGATGTCAACAAACAAAACTGAATTAGGACTGAATTATGATAAGTTCAAGGAAACATCAGTGATTGAAAGAATGAATGTAAGAGAAACGTGTACAAATGAATACTGATGTCAGTTTTTAACGACCAGGTAGTTGCAAATACTTATACAGTCAAACCAATACACGGAGGCCAACATCAAGACCAAAGGAAAGTAACCTTTAACAGTGGTGAGATATCCATTGAGGTTCAAAATGAAAATGAACAGGTTTGAGTATGTAGTTAAAAACACTGTTATCAACACAAGAGTGCACACAATGAAATGCCTGCTTTACTTATATCATGATTGAATTTATGTTGAAAGTCTGTATTATGAAGGTTTTACTACAACAAACACATAAACTTAACAATATCAATGATCCATGTAATGTTGTGAAGGTCGGATAAACCTTGCCAGACAGACTTGTACACCCTACAATCATACCATGCACCAACCATAATTAGCCTATTGATTATAGTATCTAAGAAACAGATCTAATTTTAAAAATTGAACATTGACCAATGAACCATAAAAATTAGGTCAAGGTCATATGAACCTTGCCAGAAGTTATGTACACCCTACAGTCAAATCATGCACCAAATATAATTAGACTAAACATGCAATCATTCCATACATGGAATATCATTTAACTATTGCTTATAGTATCTGAGAAATAGACATAACTATAAAAACTTTACATTGAAACATGAAAATGAGGTAAATGAATCGATGAAACCTGCGAGACGGACATGTGCACCTTACAATAATTCCATACACCAAATATAGTTCACCTATTGCTTATATCATCTGAGATACGAACTTGAACACAAAAACTTAACCTTGATCACTGATCAAGAAAACGAGACAGAGGTCAGGTGAACCCTGTCTGACGGACATGTAGACTTTGCAAGGATCACATACATCAAATAAAATTATCCTTTAACTAACAATAAGTGAGTTATACACGTGACAAAAAAAAACTATACACTTTTTTGAAGCAGTCGCTGAACCGTGAAAATGAGTTCAAGGACAATAGTCATATGACAGACAGAAACTTGATAATATAAGGCAACTGCATATCAGGTATGAAGCATCCAGGTCTTTTACCTTCTGAAATATAAAGCTTTATACAAATAGTTTACTCCACTGCTGTCGAATAGTAATCCCTAGCAGGCGAGACAAAAATGGTGATTCTGATCATGTTTACCTGCATCAAAAGGAGAGAATTTAATTATACCTATCAAAAGGGGAACTTATCTAAATTACAACAACAATACATGACCTTTAGGCAAAAAGTTAGTAAAGATCACATATTTTTTTTTTTTATTTTTTCTTGAATTTAGGAGGATGCCATATGCATTGCCGTTAATTCTGTTCATACTTGATGTGAAGATGAAACTTTTATGAGATAAATGTTTTTAGAGATCAGTTTTTCTGAAAACTACTACTAGTACTTAATTTTCTGAGAGGCTTATTTTAGTAAATTACAAGTATTTAATTTTGTTCCGATTTTAGTGAAAAGCAATGGGTTATCCTCTTACATCAAAGCATGATTAGGGTAAAGAAACATTTCTAAGATAACCTTTTTAGATACCAGCATTCGTTATCTACAGAAATAATTCCTTGTGTAGCTAGAAGTAGCAGTACTAGTGTGCACACAAGGAGCTTTGAACTAGTGAAATAGTACAATGGCTCATGGATTTTAAGGTTAATTTATATCAACTCTAGAAATTTATATATAGTCTGTTTTTTTCACCTTGAATAAGGATTTGTCTAAAGAGAGTATTTTTTATACAGGACTACAAGCACAAGAGACATTTTTTGCCCGGTTTAAGAATTGAGATTGAACAAATTTTGAACAATGTTGCAACAATGCCGAAGAAATGTCAACTTATTCCTATTGCTAAAGTATATGATTATCACTGTTTTGTATTATTTGCCAAAAAAAAAACACTAGAAAATTACCAATGCTTTATCTCTCGTTTCTGCACAACAAACTTTAGAGTGAGTGACATATATCTGTTGCCAATATGCATGACAATTCATACCATATCAATAAACCAGGAGAATGAATGTCAATAAATGATGTAACATAAACTAGTTAGCATAACCATTTACACAATTTTTAAACCAATTATTATCTTGCCAAAACCATAATCCGCATTTTGCAATTATGAAAAAACAACCCATCATTTTGTAATGTGAGTAAATTAAATAGAATAGCTTCATATTTTTGCATTTGGATTCTAATGTAAGTTTCTGTCTATTTTCAATGTCAGGCATTTTTACATGTGTATTTTTCAATTTTTGAATTGATTATAATAGTTAACCATATTGGACCTAGTTAATGGATACCAGAATATTTTTGTAGGTGAAAAGTCACTTTCTACTGTGTGCAGTCCTTCATGTGGAAGTAAAATGGTTAACTTTAATTATGTGCAAAGCAAAGAAAAAGTGGTATACCTATGCGCAAGTTTAGATTTTAATGGCATTATTTGTGATTTGATAAAAAAATAATAGAATAAAAATGCAAAATTACAAGAGTAGACGCAGCAGTAAATTTAAAACAAATCTGACTTTCAAAACAAAGATTAATCAGATATTTGTAATGTTGTGTGATGTTTGGATGTTGGAGGAATCTGAGTTGAAAACTGTAGGAGGAGTTGATTACAAAAATGTGGTACCCTCTTTTGCTGGAAAATAACTAGATTCTCAAGTACGGAAAAATGTAAAAACATTCTTCAAACAATTCCATAACAGCAGGTGCACAACTTCAACATATGAATAATTTGTTTGTTTAGTCTTATGGAAAACTGTAAGGCAGTCTTTCATAAATTTTGCTGAAAAAAGATTAAGTTCTAAAGTCTGGAAAAATGATAAAAAATCTTCAAACAATCCCATAATAGCTGGTGCACAACTTCAACATATGTGCAATCTTCCTGTGAAAATACAGGGATCTGGGTTGAAAACTGTAGGAGGAGCTGATAACACCAAACTTGTATCCTATTTCATGAATTCTGCTGAAAAAGGACTAAGTTCATAAGTCTGGAAAAATGAGAAAACAATTCTGTAATAGCAGATGCACTACTTCATCATACGTGCAATCTTCCTGTGAATTTTCGGGGAGCTGGGTTGAAAACTGTAAGAGGAGTTCATTACACAAATTTGGTCCCCACTTCTCGCCACCAGGCCGCCGACCCATCTGCCAGCCCATCCGCCGAACATCACCATACTATAAATAAATGCAACAATAGTATGCCACTGTTCAATAGTCATAATTCGATTAAGCAAAAACAAATCCGGTTAACAAACTAAAACCGAGGGAAACACATCAACTGTAAGAGGAAAACAACGGAACAACAGAAACACTGAACTACAACAAAAGCAAACGCCAACATACATAGAAACGGACTGTAGACTTTGTCCAACCCGGCCAAAAACATGCACCATACATATTTTAATAAACTGG